TTTTTTTATTTTTTAATTTTATTATTTTATTTTTTTTTTCTTTTATTATTATATATATATATATATATATATATATATTTTTTTTTTATATAATTTTTATGCTATGCTCACGACTTTGTTCATTTGAGTTTGATTTTAAAAACCAAATTTTATATTTAAATTAAAACAAAATTGTAATAGAACTGTGAATGTTTTTTAACATTGAAATTTTTAACATTTAACAAAAAATTTAAACGTAGAATGCCAATTTTTATATATTATACTCGTGTGAAGTTAATGTTATTACAATCTATAATTGTATTCGACGATTCTTTTTAGTTAAAAATTTATTAAGCAAAATGTCATCATCGACATGTAGTTCCCGATGAATGCTCATTAAAGCAAGACCAGTAAGTCTCGTTTGTCCAGTACTATTTCTTAAATAGGTTTTTAATCTTTTTAATGTTGAGAAGCTGCGTTCGACTGTTGCTGTAGAAATCGCTAAAGTTGCTAATATTTGCAGTAGTGTGTGCAATTGGGCAAAGTCATTGTCGGATCTTTATTGTATAAAATATTAGATTTTATTTCCACGGAATAAATAACTATAATAAATAATAGTCGGAATTATATTAAACTATAATAAATAAGTCGGAAAATATAAACTCGATGAACTGTAAAGGTAGTAAAAGATTTTGACGACTGGACTACGAAGGAAGCGAGGCATACGTTTTTGAGTGAAGCATATTAAATGCGTGAAACAGCATATATGACAGAAATTCACTTTTGTGATCAGCTATGAAATTATTAAAATTATTAAGAATTTCGGGGGGGGCTGCAGCCCCCACAGCCCCCCCCTCGGCTACGCCACTGGCACGCGATAACACAGAAACGTTAAGAATTCGTTAGATTGTTGCAAAAAAGAACTTGCCGTTGAAAAATCCGTTTGTACGTTATAAAGGACGGAAGTTTCGTTGCCAGCAATTTTTGCACGAGAGTTGCGCGAAATTACGAGAAACTTAGGGCCGGTAGTTGCACGCGAACAACACGCAAACTCCCTAAACTGACTAACATACGCTGTACTTTCATGCCGCCAGCGGGTGCCGCATCGCAAACGGCAAAACTAGACGCAACACACAACACCAACCACCGTCGCCTCTCTTTGGCATTACTTCGAGCATGTAATGGAGCTCGCCAGGTCGACGAGAACCAAAAGGTGCATCCTTTCCGGACAAATACCACCGTGATACCAGCAGCAACGCAAGAACAAATATTTGATGGAACGAACGATGTATAAATCTCTACTGAAAACAACGCTAAAAGGCATCGCCAGCGACTGCGTGAAATTATATTATAATTTTATTTAGAAATGAAAAGGATTGCATATGAAATCAACTACAAGAGAACATCACAAGAGTTTTTAGAATTATTATGATTATAATGTTCAAAGCGCTCTTGTTTTTAATTTGCATTTATTTGAAATAATAAAAATTAATTTCATTTTTTAGTTAAACTAACTAAACTAAAATTAATTAATTTATTTGATATAAACTTCAATCTTAATTATATCGTATTTCTTAATTGCATATTGTTGATTTTATCGCTAAAGATTTTATTGCTCAAAAATGAAAATTGTAGAGCGAAAATCTATTATTTTATATTTATATTTTACTTATTTAGAGAAATGTAAAAAAAAGTGATCTTCGTGTATATTACTTTTCGTGTTCATGAGCAGTATCTATAACTTTTCGCAATACTATTTCCTTTGATACATACAATATATATTTATTTAAAAAGAAACAAAATTTTTGAAAATGTAGCATTCGCAATTTTTATCATATTACATCTCATTATCCTAATTTATAAATATGTGTAAAATACTTTACTTTATTACATAAATTCCACTCTATTGACGGCACATATGTATATTTAAAAAGTTAATAGGGGGTGCGCAGCATGCGCATCATTTTGCAATAAATCTTGCGTAATAAAAAGGCCGCATCGTGTTTGCATTTTCAGTAAATGCACATTTCTGATGAAAACGCAAATATCTCCCTCACGATTAATTAACGAATTGAAATGTGACGATTATAAAAGATACATACACTTTCTATAATGCGAAAGCTTTTAACGTTTTCGCATTCGAAGCACAAAATATATCATCAAATGTAGCTTTGCCAAAAAAAGTATGTCAGTGCTGTGAAAAATTAGCGGACAACGAGGGAAGTTAACGATAAAACCGGGAACGGTGCTTTTCCTATTTTTCATGGTTGTTCGACAGCGCTTTTTGCTGACATGAAAGAAACCGCTCGTGCACACGATCTTCCACGCTAATTAACGTATTCTTTGCGGATGCTTAAAGATTAAATGTTAATTAGTCCTACTTGTACGGCAACATAAGTGCGTGAAACATTTGCTATTGTCACATCGAATGAGAAATGTTAAAAGTTATCATACTCTTATATCAGAAAATATAAATTGAATATCCTTTAACTGTACACTTCCGTGATATAGTAAAACGAAAAAATGTTGTTTAAAAAAAATTTTAAGTGATATTGCAAATGCAATTGCTTCTTTAAAAATTTTTTTTTAATTTATGCAATTTATTTTCAATTAAAAAAAAAAAAAAAAAAAAATTAAATATTTTGCATTCTTTCGATTTTTGCAATAATTTATTTTCTTCGGTATTGCACGATGAAACAATCTTCATCCAATTACGGGTTGAACTGTTCATCCGCGAATACACACGTGAGGGCGAAATTACACGAGAAACGCAGACGTTACATTTAGCAAATTTGACAAATCCTTGCTTGCTCACCGATCATTAAGCTGAGTTGACATAATAAGCGCAGCCGCCGGCTGTCGGTCGAACAACGGAATGTTTTCATTTCCGCCGCATTTGACCGTTTATTCGCGTCCTCGTATAATTCACACGAATAACACTTCTAATTTATCAACTGAACGATCCAATGCGCTGGCCATTACAATAAAACATCGTGTTAATAAGTCAAATGTGTTATTTAATGAAATATTTAGATCAAATTATACAAAATAATAAACGCACATATAATACTATTCAGTAGACATTACTTTACGATTAAATATATTTAGCAGTTTAGTTATCACAGTGAATAGTAATGTCTAAAAATATAATAATTGTAATACATTAATAATTCGCAGTTATATTCGCAAAAATAGTGAGATTTTAATAAAGAAAGATATGAATAGATCGCATAATATGAAAAGATATGCCTTATGCAATGACATATGATTAATCATTTCTGATATTAAAACTTGATATTGTATAATTAATTTCAAATCGATTTCAGTATGACCGGTTTCAACCATTTTCTCTACATTACAAGGCAAGTATCTTATAATCTCAAATACATAGTATATTTGTTATTAATAATTTAATCGTGCCTTTTGAAGAATGATTAAAATACCAAACATAATTATTAATAACTTAAAAAATTGATAATTATTTATGTTACAATAATGACCAAGTTACTACTTAAAATTTATGTAACATAAATAATCATTAAGCTAGCAATGTTACATTTTTTGCAACAAAATTAATGAGCACTTATATATGTGATAGCTTGAAAAAGGCATTATTGGCAATCATCATCTGTTTCTTCTTTTTCACATTCCATATTTTCATCTTTATCTTTATTCTTACACTTGCATTTTTTATGTTTTTTGCTTAGATGATACGTATCACCACCAGCATCACCTCCAGCAGGATCTAATATATATAATAACAATCATATTATTACTAAAAATATATTACAAATAGCTAGTTTTTATTTTCCTCAACCTTACCATTTTCTTGTACCAATGTTGTTTGCTTCTTTTCTGAATGTTTTAACCTCTTAGGTGAAGTATCCTATAACAAGAAGAAAAATCTACTATAAATATATGAATATATTTAAATATATTTGTAATATCATGTAGAAAATTATTTAAAGCATTAAAAAATAAACATTAATAAATAAAATGTACATTTTATTCATTTTTATGTCTTAGAACTTTATATCATAACATTTGGTAGGCTTAGAAGTTTATTTCGATGCGTTAAAATCTAATATTTTAGAATTCTAAATCATTTCTTCGTTTAAATTATAAGATTTCAATGCATCACGGTAAAATGTACATTTTAAAGTTCTAACCTAATCTAACAAATGTTATAATATAACGTCATAAGCCATAAAAATAAATAAAATATATATTTTAACATTTCACGTCATTTTTTTTTGTTTAAAATATAAAATTTTAATGCATTGCAATAAAGGAATAACAATAAAATATTTGTGTGTATAAATAAAAAAAAGTACAAATAATAAGAAAACCTAGAGTATATATAATACCTCGCAAATTCGTTCGATGCGCTCTTGCTGCTCTTTTTTTAGTTTAGTTTCTGCTCTACCGCTTATTCCAAACTTGTAGAACGGTCCCATAAAATCAATAGAGCCGCCAAATAAGAAAAATGGCAGTGATATTATACATGCGCACAAAGTCAAAAAAAGGATAATTACAACAGGGAACTTTTGTAAAAAGTTTAGTTTACCTGTAAAACATGACATAATTATAATTAATAATTCGATGTTTTGTTCTGTTATTGATATGCAAGATTTACTCACTGGTAGCATTGTCTATAAATTCAGATATGACAGTCCCAAGGTAGGAGAAAGGTTGAAAAATAGTTGTACAGAGAAAATGCGTCAACGCAAATGCTGGTGTTACTTGCAATCTCGGATTAGTCATGATTGTTTGATAGTATTTTTCACAATCGTTTGTAGCTGAAATCGATAATCATTTGCAAACAATGCACATTAAAATCTCGAATGCATCTAATATTTCTAATAAAAAGATACTCACAGGAAAATGATGCAACCATCTTATCCCAAAAATTCATTTTATGCGGTTGGCAAGCAATTGGCATTTCTGTAAATTGTGCTTGTGCTGCCATTAATTTAATTTCTGCTTCCTACAAAATAAAGCAATCTTTAAAATAAAATGTAATTGTCCATCGTAATCATCTAGTTTAAAAGCTAAATATATATATATATATGAATTTTTAATGCATGGTAAATATATTTTGAATATAAACAAGGTAGCAAAATATATAATATAATAATATGCAAATTACCTGTATAAGTCGCCACCATGTTATAAAAAAACTCATTATAAATATAACATCAAACATTAGAAAAACAATTAAACCTCGTGACCATCTTTGCCTTCTCAGAATCATAAAACTAGCTATAACAGTAAAGGAGATTATTGTTATATCCCACTGTAACAATTAAAAAGATTAGGTTAGATTGATATTTATATTTAATGTCGCACATAGATAATATTAGATTATTCTTACATGTTCTTTTATGAGGAAAAGACAATGTATCAAATATTCTGATAGTAAATTGAAATAGTGAGATGCTTCAGTCATATAGTGACATGCCGAATATTGAGATTGACTTATCACACTAGCAAGGATTCTATCAACCTCCCTTATTGAGCCTTGATTGTTTACAAAGTTTTGAAGATACTCAAATTGTGCAGAGGATGCTTCTATACTGAGTGTTCCAATTAATCTGTCATCAATTTTCTGTAAGTAATTTCTTAATTTAAAATTCTATTATATAAATACAAATTTATATGCTATTTTCAATCATATAGCAAACTTACCTGTATGACAAGATTTGATAACAATACAGCGATCAAGCGTTTATAAAATATAGCGTCCTGAGTATTTCGTTCATCCGTTTCTTTACAGCTGTATGGCTGTACAATTACAGAAGACTGATCATTCTTACTTGTCTCTCTTATTAAACTAAAATACAAGAGGATAAAAGCATGTCAATCTGTTTAAAATTACTATTATATGTTTTATATAAGAAAATATGTACCTAGGTGAGTTTATTTCTGTGGATCCGTAGAAGAAAGAGTGAATATTTTTGAGCTCGTCTGTAGATCTAAAGTAAAAATATGTTTACATGTAGCATAATTCTTATAACTATTTGTAATAAATAGCAGTATTTGATAAAGAGATATTTATTTAAAGACAAGCAAGTAATAATACAAATACGATTTTAAATCAATTATGTATTTACATTTCAACATATTTCTGTTTGGCGGCAATTATGTCAGAATACTCACGGTGTGACATCATCGATATTCACTTCGTCGTCGCAATAAATACTTGAGAAAAATACACAGAGATGCAAGACGATGCATATTGATGATTTTAAGATCTGCATGTCGGTGTGCCAGATGTTTATATTTTTCTCAAAGATATTGGTTTTTCATGAGAAAAATACAACACTGTCAAAACATATTACATAAATAATTATGTTGAAAAATACATGCCGGCGCGAGAAAACTGGAGAAAACGTGATTATTGTTTAGAACGTTATCCAACTCATCAAAATAAAATATCCTGTTACAATCTAGTTCTCTTGAATATCGTTCAACCAGGGAGAAACCTGAGAGGGGCCACGCTGCCGTTTTTCGTAAGACGCTTTTTCTAGGCCGTACACTAGCGGCCATCCATTTTACAGTCTGCCTGGAACTACATGGCCACATCCATTTTCCGGAATGGTAAAAGAGCCCTGGTTGGTTCATGTCCGTGTTACATCCACAATTTATTGAACAGAAATACGTCTCGCATATAGATATAATTTATATAGATACAATTTACAACATATAGATATAGATAATTTATAATACCACCTGTGGAAAGTAAGCGGGCAATATAAGAATATTACATATCAAGAGACACGGTAGTGTCTCGCACCAAGTTCACACGCAACGCGATATAGTTTATATCACGGGTTGCAGTGATATACCGGAATTCCCTCCAGTGAGTATAACAGAAAAAACAGAATAAATACAAAATAATAATATAAATAACAATATAAATATTCCTGTTATAAGCAAACTCTAATTTAAAGTTAACAGAAACGAGGAAGAAACAATCAGCACAGCAAATTTTTTTCAAGAAATGAGACGTCTGTTAGCTTTGAAGAGAGTATAGGAACGCAAGCCGTCATTACATTGCCATGTGCTTCGAGTAAGTGCTAAATGGCATGAGCATTATACATAAAGCAACACAGGTATGGCAAACCATGGTTTTCTGATATACCAGAGGTCAAAATATTTTCAACATCATTCAAATTTTTTTCAAGATATGGCAATTTGAATTATAAATTCAAAACTGATGATAAGCAAGAGTCTTATGAGACATTGTCAGAATCTTCATCTGCTTCAGAACCAATTGAGCAACGTATGAAGTAAGTATAATAATAAAATTTGAATTAGTTATATGATTGTCGCATTTTGTTTACGCTTACAGCGTGCAATCTTTATAATAAAAAGTGCTGATATTTTATGAATTTTCAGAAATTTACAAATAACTTCAAAGAACCTTTAAATAGTATTATATAAATAAACCTATTATACCTCACATGACGATACTGAAATGTACATGAAGAAACAGCAGATAATGCATTAAATATATGACTTATCATGTCACGTGATAGGTCATAGTATGTAAAAAAACTTTTATAAATAATATGTGTTATATATCACCCTTTTTTCATATGAATATAAGCATTGTGTCTCTAGCTCCTTTTGAGCTATATTTAATACAGTATAAGAAACTTCAAATATAATAAGATCATATAACAAAAAAACATTTATATACTAAGACTGAAAAAATCTCAGTATACAAAGTACAAAATACATATTCTTTATATAATAACCTATTGCTTGTGTATACTACAGCTTGATTAAAAATAAGAAAATTTAAGTAAAGAAATATATAACTTAAATTGTCATACACGAAATAAATATTGCTTAATAAAATAGTTCATTGGTTACTCAATATATATAATACTTTCCTCCATCTTATAATTTACTATTCTTTTATTCTAAATTCTGAAATGTTAAATTTAGTTCAAGTTAATAATAATTCATTATTACTAATAGCTGTTGCATATGTACGAGTTTATTAGTGTAATACATCCATTTATACTTTTCTAAAATCTATTTTTTGCTTATTTTTATAAGAAACTTTAATACGAAAAGATTATATAAAAAAAAAGAAAAGAACAAAAAAGAAAGTAAAACATTCACACTTTAATACTGAAAAGATCATGGTCATACAAAGTACAAAGTCTTTATATAATTCTTTATATAATGATTCATTGTCCTTTGTGTATACAATAGCTTTATTGAAAATAAGAAAACTTAAATAAAGAATTATAATCTAGATCGTCGTTTTAGTATATAACACCGAATATCATTTAACAATCTTAACTTTATTGTAAGATGCTTTAGTCTCGACAGACTTTTCTTCACCAAATCTGGCTTTCCTTTTTTCCAATCGTTCAGCTAATTCGGCCTAAAAAGAAATTCAATGATGGACCCAGTTATAAAGAAAGATAAACATACGTAAGAAAAATGAACACATAGGCAAATCTTCTAAGCAAATGTATTTACAAAAACTATCAATTATTTTACCTTTTCCATTAAATTAGACACAGAGGACCCAAATCTTTCAGCACGTTTCTTCAATGTCTCGTAAGTAGTATGCTACAAAGAATAAATTACATAAAATAATACCATAATTATAAATTAATTGTAAACCATTAAATTAATGTTTTGCATTAAATTGTAGAATAAACAATGAACTTCTTACCACTGGTGTCTTTATGGATGCAGCTGATTTGTTATTTTGATTGTTTATATTAAATCGGGCTAACCTAGCTTCCTTTTTCGCTGCATCCGACAATGGCACTCCAAATTTTTTAGCCCTCATCTCCAATCTCTGTTAAAAAATTAACACAAATATATTATTGTTACAATATTTTTACTATATTGCTCAAATAAATTCTATTAAATTCAAATTAATTTTATTACTTGATCTACATGCTAGCAGAAGAAAATAAAAAAATTATATCATTTTTAATTACCTCTTTTGTGCTAAGCTCTGATAATTTAATAATCTTTTTTTCTGGTGGTCCAGATTCAGGTATTTTGACATTATTTTCATTCTTTTCTACTTGATCATTCTTAATTTCCTCAAGTACAGGTTTGCGATTCAACACTATTTTTTTTGCATTAGCATTGTTACTGTCAATGGACAGCTTTCTTTTTTCAGTAATTTCCTGAGAATCTGGTTTGCTTGATAATTCTTCTATTTCTTCATCCTGTAATTAATCCAAACCATAATAAAGTAATAGTTAAAAAAATAGTTATTAATATACATGTAATAGTTTAATATATTTGTCAAATTCTATCATCAAATCTATTTTCATTAATACCACATTACATCTGCATGGTACTTACACCAAGTACTTCATCTTCATCTAAAATTTCTTCTGTTGTTTCGTCTAAGGACAATGCAGAATCTACAAAGTATAAAAAACTCTTTCATAAATATATATACCTAAATAATATTTTTGCAAATAAAGAAATAAAAAAATAGTAAAAACAAACCTCCATGAATTGCCAACTGAAGTCTTTCTACAAGTTCGTTTTTATTGCCTGTAGTGGTGAGTCCTCTTTGCTTTAGTTCAATTCTAAGGTCAGCCACCTGATAAAATACCATATTTTAATACAAAAATAAAGATAAAATCTTAAACTTATAGAATCATGCAATACCATTATTTTTTCAACAAATACTAAAATAAAGATATTTATATTTTATCTATTAATTGTCATATTCTTATTCAATATATTATACATTATGCAGATAATCGTTGTAAATTAAGCAAAACTTTTTGAAACAAATCCATTTTACAATTTCAAAAAAATGATTATTTTTTAGATGTTAGCATTAAATACTGCGTTAGCATAACCCATTACTTTGAATGACTATGCTTCTATATCTCTGTATCTTCTGTATCTCTCAACAATACAATATTTATATTAAAACCTCATTATTATGCTTAATGTAGATGAGCAATACTTATATCAAATTTAATTGCTCTGGTTAAGAAATGTTAAAGACTCTAAAAAGTTATCTTTTAACTGAAAGCATGGTTGGTAATTAAAATTTCACAGCTTAAGAAAGAAAATATTGTAGTTCATGATAAAAAAAATTAGTGTGCGTTAACTAGATTAATAAAATAGAGGTTTGTAAATAGTAGCGCAAGTAAATACGATGAAATAATCGAATGACGCCAAGACAGATGACTTTTCAAGCTCGAAAAAAAATTGTTGGTTAGGACAGTACCGATGTCGCGAATTCCACTGCACGTACGGATCGATTCGCGACGCTCACCTTCATTTTTGACAGTTCGGTCAGACCTTTTTCATATGACGAGTCAGCCATAGCGTATTTATTGTATTTCTTTTGAATTGTAACCGCTATTAATGAACTAACATCTCATCACTAAGATTTTCTCACATTAATTCTACAACGGCACAACAAACCAGTTTGCACCAGTTTAGCACCGTTCTCAAGAATGCAACACGCAATCAAAGGCACCAATAGGCAACCATTCAACAGGCAACCAAACCCTAGCTAGTGCCTCCCGCTTTTTCGGAAATAATAGGATGCAGCGAATGATAATTGGTTACCGCATTTCTTCTATCCAATCCAAAGACCACAGATTAATGTATTGGGAAATTAAAGCAAATATGCATTAATACACAAGGAAAAATGCGAGGACGATATCATAAAATATTTAAAAAATATGATTAATTATACAGAAATATTATAATATATTATTATATATATATGTATTAATAGGGAGCTTGCTGTGTGCTTGCGTCTCAAATCTGGCGTCACTGCTAGTCACTGCACAGTCTGATGCTGGTTTATGTTGACAGCATTGATGTTACAAGGTTATGGTATATGAAAGTTATAACCTACAAATGTGGAACTGTAACTACTGCAAGGTATCAAAATGGTCGATGAATCTACAAAGAAAACCTTAAGTAACATTCCGTTATTACAAACGAAAGCCGGACCCAGAGATAAGGATTTATGGGTGCAGAGGCTGAAAGAAGAATATCAAGCTCTTATTAAGGTAAAGTTATTGATACGAAATTCTTTTCTTTGCAAGGTTATGCACGTCAGCTCCATATGGACAGTTCAATTTTTTGTTGTTAAATTAAACTTTTAAGGGATTACTGATTGAAAATTAATTTATTATTATGATAAGTAGTTAACAAGCATATCAAAATAAGTTTTCTATAATATAAATATTGCTATTAATGTATAAGCTTGACCATATCTGTTTATCTTTTACAGTATGTCAAAAATAATAAAGAAGCAGACAATGATTGGTTTCGACTCGAATCAAATAAGGAAGGTACTCGATGGTTTGGGAAGTGCTGGTACATTCACAATTTTCTAAAGTATGAATTTGGAATAGAATTTGATGTAAGTAATATTTTACTTCCAAATTTTTTTTTGTATTTTACTTAAATAAAGAAAAGTTACATTCTCTACAAAGTTTTGTTTAAATAACATGATTTTAAAATTAATTCTAAAATTATAGAATTATTAAAGTAATTTTGTATCAAAAAATTTAACAATGTTTATTTTTATAATACTAGATTCCTGTTACGTATCCTACAACAGCACCTGAAATTGCTTTACCAGAATTAGATGGCAAAACAGCAAAGATGTACAGGGGTGGTAAGATCTGCCTGACTGATCATTTCAAACCATTGTGGGCTCGCAATGTTCCTAAGTTTGGCATCGCTCATGCAATGGCTCTTGGTGTAAGTTAAATATTTAATACATAAAATTATAAGATTTAAAAATTTGGGTAAAATAAATATTTTTATACTTGGATAAAAAAATTAAAAAATTTTCTATTAAAATAATATTCATAAATTCTAAAAACCTATTTTTTAGTTGGGGCCATGGTTGGCAGTTGAGATTCCAGAGCTTATAGAAAAAGGCATTGTAGTTCACAAGGATGAGGAAAAAAAGTCATGAATATTTTGTGAAAGCAGTGTACAGAATAACAAAAACAAAATGCGATTGTTGATAAATGATAAGTTATTTTGTATATCTATTATTTGAAAGAGAATTTATACAATATATTAAGTTTTACACATGATAGAAAGTATTTACACACATTCAACGCGATCAATAAATACTATAAATTTACTTATCGTCATCACCTAATGTTATTTTTTTACTACTCTTGATTATTTTGTCAAGTTTGTACAAATCTTTGAGCGATACTTCTCCCGTGCCTCTCTTGAGGGGTTTTGGTTGAGACGCGTCTGGTTTCCATCCCAACATATATATTATCTGAAATGTAGCAGGAACGAATGCAGTGTTGTCTTCCCTAGTTTTTCCATAGAGCTCTTTGTATATAGATGCGGCTGCAATCAACGTATCTCTTGAAAGATGCAAATTACGATTTCTAGCTGCATTATTCTCAGCCATTCCTAGATAAACAAAAATTTCACATGGAAAATATAATTTATCTGTTAAATAATAATTCTTATCTAAACATTTTTCTCATTTGTAATATAGCTTACCTTTTAAATCCCACATAAGCTCGAACATACTTGGGTAACCAATGACTATCTCGTCAGTGTCAATGGTCAACATGGTAAAATTTGCTCTTGTTAACAGAGATCCAATGTCCCTTATTTCCGCAAATGGTGAAATATGCGGCGAGATTCCACCGTGTCTCTCGAGTTCAGCTAATTGTAAGGAACTTCTACATTATCAGAATGAACATCAGAAATAATAAAGGCAAGTAGAAACAAAATAATCAAAAATCCTTAATTTGGTTCTAGCAATTTGGCTTTTACCTTAATTCGTAAAGCGTATCACCGCCAAACACAGCTGCCAGGAAGACACCATCATTCTTCAAACTGCTATTAATACGCTTGAAACATCCAGGAAGATCATTGACCCAGTGAAGACTTAGACAACTGATTACCATGTCAAAACTGTTGGGTTCAAAAGACAGATTCTCCTCGTCGATGACTTCCTTTTTGACCTTCACTCCCTCTGTGGTTTCAGCTTGTTGCAGGAAGCTTGGACTCATATCAGCCAACACCAATTCTTCTATGGAATCGTTAAAGACTCGTTTAGATACGTGACCACGACCGCATCCCAGATCAAGGGCCTTGTTAAACTTTCGTTTGATGTCAAATATCCTGTCAGACAACCTATCGCCTACTTCGTCCTTCAAATAGTCATAGAGATGCACATCAACATCCTTAGCGGCGCGTTCACGTTGCAATAATTTTGCGTTCCTGTCGAACACATTCATCGGACTGTCTGGTGGTAAAGCGGACATCAACGCGCTGTTACATCCATTATTGGGATTATATCTAGGCTTCAATAAGTTTGTTTTGCCATATAAAATATATGTCCGATTTGCTCCACGAAACACAATCTTTGGTATCATTTTTGCGAGTGCACACTGATATTAGTTAATACTTTTTTTTCAATTTTCTATTTTAATTTTTAAAGAAAATTTTGAAATAATATCCTAGCCGGTAGCATTTCATATTTGTCATGATTACAGAACTCTATCAAAATATCCAGTATTGACAACATAACCACAATACTAATAGAGAGAAACCTGAGAGGGGCCACGCTGCCGTTTTTCGTACGACGCTTTTACTAGGCCGCACACTAGCGGCGCGTACATCCATTTTACAGCCTGCCTGGAACTACATGGCCACATCCATTTTCCGGGATGGTAAAAGAGTCCTGGTTGGTTCATGTCCGTGTTACATTCATTTTCCGGAATGGTAAAAAAGAGATGCGAACATGAGCTCCGTGCAGCATGAGGCAACGTGAGGAGCAGGGCCGTGGCCCCTCTCAGGTTTCTCTCTGGTACTAAACGGCACCACATGATTTTAGATTCTTCAAGATCTAATAATTAGTTCCATTTTCAAAAGTCAATCACGTTTTTTTAACGTGGTCATAATTTATATCGACTTGGCTCTCTTATATTTTATAATCAATGACCATATGCGTCAAAATGGCGCCTTTACTTCGGCAGCGCTGCCTCGTGGAACTTTCTTTACGTTGTTAACGGAGCTGTACTTCGCGTCTGTTTAGCGAAGTACTGCATCTTATATTCCATAAAATTTTAAGAAATCCTTTGGATTTCTATCTAAAAAGATGGTTCAGAAAAAGGTAAGATCACTAAATCACTCCACATAAGTAGTATTTTTATTAAATAATGTTATTAACAATGAATATTGACACTCAAAGTTTCGGCATGTTCTCATCATATAACCCAAAAATATATTTTTATTGCACGTGTAATCTGATTTTGTAGCGTTTACGATAATTAAATAAAACAGCGAAGACAATGCTTTGGCTTTCGTTGGCAAATATTAAACAATTTTCATTAATTTGACATCATAGTTTGAACATAACCTAATAATATAAGAGAGTAATTTTATGTTTTAAAATCATGGCGAAAACAATTAGCGTGGATCCATTAGTGAACTTTATTTAAATTTGATGTAATTACATTTTTTTGTAAAAAAATAAGTTGAATTTTTACAAGACGTTTAAAATGAAAAAAATTGAGTAGCATATTTATATAGTAATCTTAATTTATTTCCTGTATTTTGTTATTATTATTATTTATTATTTTACGATAAAAATTAAATCTATTATATTCTAACTTTAAATATAGCCAAAGAAGAAGGTAGGCAAGAAAGTAGCTGCCGCGCCGTTGGCAGTCAAGAAGGTTGAGCCCAAAAAGGTGACTAATCCACTTTTCGAAAAACGGACACGTAACTTTGGCATTGGTAAGTTAAAATAATTTAACTAGTTTATAATTAATTTAATAAGAATTAAAGCAAACAAGTTACATGTATATAACATAAAGTCTGGTTAAAATTTAGGCCAGGACATTCAGCCTGCTCGTGATCTTAGCCGCTTTGTAAGATGGCCTAAGTATATTCGTATCCAGCGTCAAAGGGCTGTGTTGCAAAAGAGATTAAAAGTACCACCAACGATTAACCAGTTTACTCAAACTTTGGACAAGCAAACTGGTAATTTTTATAAGTATATATTTGCGAAATTTAAAGAAATGTTTCTCACATAAATACATATAGCAAAATCTAATATAATATTTTTATGTTATTGTAGCTACACAGTTGTTTAAGGTATTGGAGAAATATCGACCTGAATCAACAGCCATGAAAAAGGCGAGATTGAAGGCAAGAGCTGAACAGAAGATCGCCAAGAAGGAAGATACACCAACAAAAAGACCAAATGTTGTTCGCAGTGGCACCAATACAGTAACCACATTGGTGGAGCAAAGAAAGCTCAACTTGTTGTTATCGCGCATGATGTTGATCCTATTGAGGTTAGTTAACTTATTATTTTAGTATCACATTTATTTTATGTTAAACTTCTATTTTATATAACTATGATGTTGAATTTCTTCACCTGAAGACAAAAATATTTGCAATATATTTTTGTTCATAAGATGACACATGACTTCTGAGGGACTTTTAAATTTGCGCATTTTTACATACCAAAAAAGTAATATATTAATTTAATTTATTTTTTATTGATGCAGATCGTATTATTCCTTCCTGCTTTGTGCCGTAAGATGGGTGTACCATACTGTATTGTCAAAGGCAAGGCACGCTTGGGACGTCTGGTTAGACGTAAGACCTGCTCAGCAGTTGCTCTCACACAGGTATATCAAGTTATATTCAAATCTTACATTGGAATCAGCTTTTATAATTTGAATTTATATAATTCTATGATGAATAAGCCAATCCCATGATAAATCATGATATTATATTAAAACTTTATCTGATCCATATTATACAAAAGTTCAATTCTTCCATTTCTATTTTGATTTTATTAAATTATATATCTGTTATTTTAGGTGGATTCTGGTGATAGAGCTAACTTTGCAAAGATCGTCGAAGCTATCAAGACGAACTTTAATGATCGATATGATGAAATTAGGCGTCATTGGGGTGGTGGTATATTGGGAAGTAAATCTGCAGCGAGAATAGCAAAACTGGAGAAGGCTAAAGCCAAGGAACTCGCTCAGAAACAAGGTTAATATCGCTTCCCATATTTGATAACAGATTACATCAAAAAAATAAAAGATAAAGTTGATTCGGGTCTGTATTTATTTGACAGTGTCCCTACATCTATTTCTTTTTCCAGTTTGTATAAAGGTTTTTATTATATTTTAATCTAAAATAAGACTTCCTAAATTAAATATATACAATTACAATGAATGTTTTTAAATTCTTTTGGTGAGCTTTTCTAGTTTCTTAATGCTTCTTCCAGCTTTATGTTCTGGGCTGTTGTGCACTACGTGACTCTTCGTAGTGCCCGCAGTATCCGTGCTTTCAGGTTGTTTAAATTGCTCGATCAATAGAACTTGCTCAGTCTTTTTCAATCCCTAAAATATCGATTTTATTAGATATTTGTCAGATTATAAAAATATAATGAGTCATTATTTTGCGTACAAAAGCTACCTTCATATCTAGAATTTTTTGGAATTCTGAGAATAGTAAATCGGGCAAACACTTTCTGCACTGTGTCACAAAGTAACTGGGTGATTCCGTTGGAGACATCACAATTTTTAATATCATTTCGGCATTTACCATTCCTTTTATCACAACCTACACGATAAATGAGACATATTAAGTATGTATTAAAATATTTATCCATATTATCTATTGTTACATATTGTTCAAATACCTTAGTATACGTTGCTGGAGCTTTTCTTTGTACTTGATAGCCCGTCGATGGAAGATCTAACAAAGCTGTTTTTAACATATGGACATCTAACAATAGTTGTTCCGCGCCGACAGTGTTCAATGGTTTGCATTTGAATAATTGTTGTACTAATTTTGGTATAAAAGAGCTGAGAAACAAATAATAGAACATAAAAAACTTTGAAAAGAATTTAATGTAATTCATGTCATGAATGTATGATAAATACCTGGCAAACTTCACGCAGAGTTGTGTGAAGTATTTTCTACAAGAAGACAGTCTATCTCGAATGGTGGGTATTGTTTGCCGAAGATGCGCTATTATAGTATTAACATAATTACTTTGGTCACCCACGACTTCCACAGAACTCCATTGTACCTAACAAAAAAATTATTATTTATTATAAAATATATTATATTTGAATTATTTTAATATAAATACTTTATGATATAATTGTAATTATGTGCCATCGACAATCAATTTGTTTGCAATTTACCTTTGTCATTGCAGTCAAGGCGGATTCACAGGCTGTTTCTAAATCTTGAACTAACAACTGGATACAATTGGAAATTACGCTAAAACAAATTGCGCGAATTAATTACTTAATCTCAAACAATATTTTCTTTAAGAAATAGGTCAGATATGTCGCATAAATTAAAAGAACACATACTTATGGAACATATCCTGTTCTTGGGATAACTTGATTTTGTCGGAATAACATTTGTCCGTCTTGTCACGAAGCTTCTTTTCTAATTGCTGTGTCGTTTCTAAACAATATTCTGCTGTTGTTAAGATACTGAAAGATATATTTTTATAATTGTTTATTATTTCAGAATAAAAATGTGAAGAATTAATGACAAATACATACCAACATATACGAGATTGCTCCTCTTTGCTATATCTGGCAGTTTCTCCTTCTTTCAAAAAGCTCTGAAAGTGTTGAATAAAGCCAGACGTTGGCAGATCTGGGAAGTCGCGAGTAATACTGCTCATGCGTGTGCTAATTCCTGCACTACCACTTCTATAATACAGTTGCATTAAAGTACAATACATAAATCCTTTACTTATGCTGATTAAATACACTGAATTATAATTTGGACTCACTTAGGTAAGTTATTCTGCAAGATTTTGAGTGCGTATTCCCGTAGATACTTTTGAAAAGTCTCAGCAAGGCTCAGCATAATTAATCCAGTGCTAAGTTGCGTACATTGCAGCATACATTTTTTATAAAATACAAACAGATCAGCGCATGAGCTCAAGACACTGCTTGGACCTTCAATGCCGTCGAATTCTTTAGCGCCTGGCGGTTGCGCTTTGGAATCGGACACAAACTTATCCATTAGATCCGCCAAATTACGATCCAAACTTTCTATATAAATATTCAGGTATGGTTCGAAACATCTTCCTATGAGATTTGCAAATGGAGACAACCTTGGTTTTTCATTTTCAATCTAGACGCACAAAAAATATAAAAATATAAATGTACGTAAAATACAGAAATAGATGCATACAAGATGTGTACAAGTAACTTTGGTACCTTTTCATTTTCTTCTTCAAAAGGATTTCCCGGAATTTTTTCGGCCACTTCATCATTGATTATCGTATTCTTGACATCAATAGACTCCAAAGTACTGCCGATAAAACGCTTTGCTAGAAGTGACTCGAAGTTACTGGTCCTCTGAATTGCGTAAAGCAACAACTTTACGTCTATTTCTCCACGCCTTTTGTTCATTAATTTCGCAAGGTCTTCACGCGTAACGTGACAGAACTGTACAGCTATTCGTTCGGAAACCTCCCAATCTTGGGGAAAGATTGTGCCAAACTTTGACTCGAAGTCGAGTAAGTGTTTCTTGATCCACGCGTATCTTCGATCTATTTTATCCAACCAAGCAAAATCTTGATTCTCATCGAACAAAACTGCATATTCTTGCAATTGAATATTTACAAACCAGACGAGCAGATCTTTCCTACAGATAAATATATTTGAAATATTATCTAATATCATTATTAACAATGTGTGTTATAAACATCACACGCATATCTAACATACATACTTCACTTTAGGATCTAATACTGATAATACCAAACATCCTTCTGTCAATTGATTGAAATGCTTTGGATTTTGCCCTGAGAAAGCTTGTTTGAAATCCGCCGTAATCTGCTGGGCCAACTCAACATGAATCTGATGTACCTTTTATCAGACAGATGAGAATAGACATTTAAAAAAATAAGTATTTGAAATGTGATAATCAAAAATATAATTTGCATTCTTACCTGATCAGATAATTCCTTCACTTGTGGTATATCAATGTAATTGCTAAAGTGTTGCATCACTTCCATCACTGCTTGCAGTGGTAGAATAATCTCTCCATATTGTTTCTTCTGAGTTAAAACTCTACAGGAGTACAAAAAAATATATGATAAATTTATAATTCATAACGATACTTAAGTAATTTTTTAATATGATACGTACTTTAGATTATCCACTCCTTCCACAAGCATGTGCAAATGATTCAATGCTGTTATCGAGGCAGTGAGATTCCTCTTGGCAAAATCCAATTGCTTGATGTCCCTTGTGATTTCTTTAACCACTTCCTCTGATTGTTCCGCTTTGTCTTTTATGTCTTTTATTTGGACAAATAATTGTCTTATCACCTTTTGCGCATCTTCTAATGCTGCTCTACCGTCTTGACCAACATTTGTCTGGCCATGTACGACTGATCTTATTTCTCTATCAATATCATATATTTTAAGTTCCATTTGGTTTACTGTATCATCAATGTTTGATAAAGATTGTTCAGTAGGAAATAGAGAATTTATGTAATCCACTACATTGAGATTAGGCTGATCTAATGGATCGGTACTAGGTAAAACCTGACAGTAAGAAAAGACAGTGTTAGAATTACAGTTTCATAAAATAAATATAGAAATATATATACATTTCAAATGCAAATATAATTAGCCACAACAAATGGCACGTATGGAAGAAATTGATGATCTATGAAGGAACTGGTGCTAAAAAAAAAAATAAATGTAGAAAGAGAAACATTTTATTAAACATAAACATTTTACATTTGTATAGAAACAGTGAGCTACTCATCGCGAAAGATCCAATCTGAATGAATGTTTAAAGATATTAATGAAAAAAAGTATCGCGATTATAACAAGCTGTCATCGAATGACAATTTAACAACAAATTCACGGTGACCTTACCTTTTCGATTACACTCTGCACACTTGGTGGGAATGTATAGACCGTCGAGCGCAGTTCCTCTACATCATCTTCTTCGTGGTTCTCCATTGTGCTGGGAAACAAATATGAGTGTGCTTCACGTGAACATTGTGCTACAGTACGCTACACTGATCCGTGTGTGTGGATTTTGACAAGGCAGATGTGGCAGATGACATTCTCAGTGACGTTTACGCTAGCATGACATCTGTACGAAGTACGCTTGAAAAATATGCAACACGCTAACGCCTTTCGATGAATGTTGCGGCTAAAATAAAAAGCAGCAAGCTAAGGCATAGATGGTAATGCAGTTACTTGTTGTGAGAAAAAATATTGATACACGTTGATTGTTTTAATAATAATTATTGTATAATTAATAATTTATAATTACTTAATTAACAATTGCTGAATTAAATTACATAATTTACACTTTATCATGGGCTTGTTGAATTTAAACATAGTGCTAATCAGAAAATCAGAAGTTTTTGACAAGAATATAAATTAAATTATTTCACAAATTATTTTGCATAATAAAATAACTATCAAATGTAATTTATGCACATTTCCATGCAATTAATAAAATATCTGTAGTATAATCTTAATCACTGTAGTATAGATTGTTTAAATTATAAAAGTTAAAAAATAAAACAAACTTACATATATCAAAAATTCATATATTAAGATTTACAAATAATCTAGATTCCCATATTTTTTTTTTTTTTTTAATAGAATGAAATAAAATAGTAGAAATAAGATAATACATAAAATATTGCTAAAAGTTATATTAAATTCTAAACTTATTGATCTTTTTTTGTGAAATAAATTAGTTCATAAAATGAACTTGCTAAATTTAACATTCTGATTTCTGTTATATAAATGTGATTAAAAAGAATTTACATTTTACTCTTCAAAGTTAAAAAGAATTTGTTAAAGTGTATTTTTCGCTTTTTTTTATTCTGCTAAAGATAACTTGCACCATGGATATAAAATAAAAGTTCTTTTTTTATACAAAAGAATCGAAAATTTGCAGTTATACAATTATGAAAATTAAAAAATAAAATTTCATGAAATTCAATTTTACTATGCAAGTCTCAATTTCAAAAATTTATGAAATTTTATAAAATAAATTTGTGTAACTCATATTCTTTATTTATTGTTTTTTTTCAAGGCAAAGCAATTTTAATTGTATTTATTAAAAAAAGGTTTTATATTATAACATATATTTCACCAGCTACAAAGCGATTTTTCCAAATATTTAAACTGTAAAAAAAAATAATAATTTATTCGCTATCGGAAAAAAATTTTATATAAGAGAAATATTAATTTCTCTTAATTTCAGATTATATTAAATAATATCATACATAATTAAAATGAATAACTAGAAAGAATACAAATGAAAGAATTGATCACTTTTATCTTAATCACTTTCGCTATTTCAATATTGAAAGTTTGGATTCAATTTCCATTAACTGCTTTCACTATTTATTTATTTTACACAATGGTCAACAACCCTTTATCGAACGAAAAATCGATTGTATTTTTGTCGAGGAGCGATCGCGCGTGCGATCGAGCCCCGGCATCCCTTAACAAACCGGAAAGCGGCATGTTCCGCCTCGTGCAGGCGTCATGACGCCCAGCGCCGCGTCGTCGCGCGTCGTCTCGCGTCGCGTCGCGTCGCACCCCGACGGTCGGTGGGGGGTGAGGTCGGAACGGGAACAGGTCGGTCGAACGATCGAAAGGCCCCGCTCCGCGGCTCAGTTGTAGCGCCGACTCTCGGCACACACGAAGTCGCGTCGTAGTTTTAAAGGCACACTCTGTACAAACGTAGCCACGCACGCCTCTTTCTTCCGTACCTCCGCCTCGCCTTTGCCTCGCCTCGCCTCGCTACGTAGTGAGCAACAGATATTAAAGACGTGCACGTTGTAGAAGCGAAACCCGAAACCTGTAGAAAAAATAAGCGAAAAATGCAGCGCCCGGCCGCCGATCACTGGAGAAAAATCCTACTCGTGTATATTTTGCAATTATTTTCATGTAAGTGACGCGCGCGCGCGATCGTGCTCGCGCTCGCGCCCGTTCATCCCTCTCGATAATCAGCATCGACACTCTCCCTCCACGCACGTATCCTGCTTCCCCTGGTGTTGTTGTTCCTCGTCCCTTTGTTGTTACAAGGGACGATTGCCGCCGTCAAGCCGAGTAAAATTGGCGGAGTCCGTCGACTCGCGGGGTGACGCTCGTCGTCGGGCGTGAATTTGTCGTCCGCCGACCGGGTCGTGTCCGAAAGCATCCATTCGCCGAAGGGTCTTTGAAATCCGACGGCTAATTCCGTCCGTTGATTTCTTAATTGATCTCAGGACGATTTTTCTTAGACGAATATTTGATTGGACGCCATCTTCCTTCGCTCCTTCTTATCTTCCGCATTAAATGTCTTATTTTTATTTTTACTTTCTTTGTCTGGATGGTGTCTGCTTCGTGCTAAATAAAGATGAAGGTTCTGCTGGTGACTCACATCTTCTCTGACGTTGCGAAAAGCTCTGTACTTTTAATTATCAGCCGATTATATTGATAGCTGGTTATTTTTATTGTCAAAGGGTCGACTCCAAATTGATCAACACGTCTCTAAGTAAGAATTTCTCAGTGGAGCTGAGAAACACTCTGTAGGATAGGTAATTGTACGAGAACAATCGTTTCTTTATTACCAAGTTAGACGAGTGAAATTGTATCGAATTTTTGGGAATGAATTTTTTTTTCGCGAAAGAATCGTACATACGTAATCTCTCGAATAACCAACAGCACTAAATTTGCTGTAGAAGATGGACACAGTGTCGCCTGTAGAAATTGTTGCATTGTTTCAGTTAACGACTGGTGGATACTGCAAGTTATTCCCCATACAATTCAGTACTCTGACATTATTACACATTTTGCATTTCATGACGTGTGACATATGTCTCAGCTTAATTGTTCAGTGCAACCCAACGTGTTTTCGTGAGACGGAGAATAATTCTACGCCATGTTCCACGGGACATTTTCCGGAGCGTATGTGGAGCGGCACAACGTTAGCAAGTCTCACCGTTTATTTAATGTTATATGCGTTTCAATTGGTCATTCTTGAAATAATATTACTCTAAGAATTCTATTTGTTCAGATAGTAATGAACTTTGCGTTTATTTTAAATCACATTGCATTTTCAAACGCGGAAAGTAGGCAATGGAGTAGCGTTGTGTGAACTTGTATTGTTTTCAAAATGACCAATTTATTTCGAAATAATTTAATATGCCGCAAGATAAAAAAATAGTTAATTTTTTGAGTAAATATTTCAATAATTATTGTTTAAAAAATTTAGCGCGCTATCCTGTCCTACTATTTTTATCACGGTAAATTTGGTACAAGTATACTGACTTGCTCATTCTTTTCAATGCGAAATTGAATAAAAAAAGTAGAATAGAACTCTTTATCTCGTGTGAACATGAGCTTATCTCTATCATTCATATCACTTGCATAGAATTACTACAATGTGGTACATTCATCACGAATCTTGAATGGCCTCCATTTAGGCATACTCGAACACAGACGTACGTGTCAATACGCATGAACCGAACTTGGCACATTCAAACATTCGAGTCGCTGCACACAATTTTTTAGTAAATAATTTTTGAACAAGTTTTTTATATATTCGAATTATTATCATATGTTTCAAAGTATTCTATGGCCAATGGTTGATCGCGGTTGTTTTCGTCGCAGAAACACCATAAAATTAAGTCAATTTTCGCGATAAATTCATGACGTAGCTCAGTTTGACCTAATTTAGCAAATGCAGACTGAAACAATATTTGCTTATACATTAATAATTTGATGATAAGCTTGAGAACAAGGGACATTAAAATTGTAAGACAGAAATCGATAACATAATGACCATAATCTTGTATACGCCGAAAACGAAGAGAGACGTGTTGACATCAATCAGATAAACGATTCTCTTCTAATGTTAGCTCGATAATACATTGCGAACGCGCATAAGAGCACTTTGTCAATCGTTTTGCTCATGGTAGGAACTTTGTGCGAGTCAGTTACCGCAAAACTAGAACTACATTCGCTCGACGTAGAACGTAATGTCAAAGGAAATGCTCGACATTGCTGTTTCCCGAAATACCAGCGGACAAAAGCTCTCGCTAATGGTTTGGCGCTATCTTAATCGTTAATCGCGAAATTTCTGCTTTCTGAAATTTCGTCATTCGCTAACTTCGTAACAATAGTACGCTCGCGAATTGCAAATCGTCAATTATTATCCGGATCTCATAATAAGTCCACGATTTCACGCCATTCGCACAAACTGCTAGAGTTTAACGATTAAGAAGCTTTGAATCAGAAAACTTTCGCGTTGATATTTACTTCAAATTAAAGTTGACTTAAGTTTTCTTTCCAAGATGTAAAACTGAAGTTACTCGTAAAGTTGGAATAATAAAAAATGTATAAAAGAGAAAAATCTATATATATATATATATATATATATGATTCAAATGCATATATGTATAAATATTTTTCTCCTTTACGGAGCACATAATAACATGTAAAATTAATAACATGTCAAATAATCGACATTTGGAATAATTTTGTATTTTGACATGTCTAACATATTATTAATGTAAAGAAGGCGTTGATAATTGCAAAATATAGCAATGGTTAAATAAATGATTAAAAATCCAATTAAATCAAAGTGGTCAATAAATCAGTTCAATTGAAATAGCTGAAAATACGATTACTTTTTCGGTTATTCGAACAGTGCGACTTTAAAAGCCATTTTGCCGGAAATCAATTATTCGACTATGTATTGATCCGATTTAGCAATATCCACTCTAATTTCACGGTATTTATATAAAAGATAAACACCAGCTTTAGTTTTATGAGTTGAAAATATTTTAGTACGTGAAAACATTTCTAAAAAAAGAATTGTGTTATTATTGTCGTGTTTTTTCTCCGGAAGAGAAAAACTAGAAAATTATTTTTTTTTAGTTTTGACGTAGCGGTGTTTAATTTCTTTTATACGAATTGCATGGAAAAATGGAAGAAGACATATTTTTCATGAGAAAATGAGCGAGAAGTGGAAAAGTTTATAAAAGTTCTCAATGTAAAATATAATAAGTTCGGAAAAAGAGATTGTAAAGAAAAACTACCATTCGATGTCATGTGAAATTACACGTCTATATACCCCTTAATGTATTGTCTATTTATATTCCGAGTAATTTGCCATTGATTTATATCACTATAATACACAACGCAATGTCATGCATAAAAGCCTAATTGCAAAGAATTCGTTTAACGACATAATATCAGATTCAGCTTTAAGTTCGGCTTTAAGTTCGTTGAAATATTGCCGAACACGCGCGTAGAAGACGCGTTACGTTAACATTATCCGACGGTGCGATCGACCTCGAAAATAAGCCTTTCGTCTCGAAACGTCTCGAAATAATATACTATGCGTGCGGCAGTAACGCGCGCTTTCATTCTGATCGATACAGTAACACCTCCCAGCAACAGGGTAGACCGCCACAAGTAGTTACGCTCAGCCGAAGGCCCTCCATTCTTCCCGCCGCGGCGCTAGATTAATGATCCGTTTGCTGTCGCCTCGTTGTCGTGCTAATTCTAATGAGAATCAAACGAAACGCGATTACCGTTCTCGACAGCGTTTAATCGAAATATCAAACATATCCGATATTTCGTCGCCATTTTATTTTATTTCGTGTAAATAACTTCGGCACACAGCTCGGAATAAGACATGCCTTTTTTCTATAAAATATTCTTAACTTCTTCCATTCCGTTTTATTTTAGGATTCTATCATAAGATCTTATACATCCTATATAAGATCAATTTGGAGTTGACCTTTTCTTATAAAAATATTGATAATGTGCTAATAATTCAGCAGTTATAAATGATTCACTTCGAAAGATTTTTATAAATAAAACTATACGAATGCAAAAAGATAATGAAAATTTGATTTTCAATTTCCGATAAACTTTATTTTAAAGCTTAGATATTTATTCAAGAGTGTTAGTTGCATGCGTGGAACAAACCCTACATGCAGTCTAATATAGGTTTGTGGGTTACACGTCATAAGTTACGACACTTCTCGAAGTGTCTCGATTCTAACTGATATTACAATACATAAATCGAAGGACATATAGATATTATATATATCAAGTTTCATAATTGCAAAAATCTTAATTTGCTTATTATACAATTATTTTTTAACATATCTGAACTGGTTTCTCTTTCGTTGAATCTATTGAATCTTTGAATCTATCGCAGCATTTTTTAATTAAACACAAAAAGTCTGAAATGTAGAAATATATTTAGAAATATCGCTTTCTTTAGCTTCCGATTTTTATTAAATTTTTGAATTTTAATATCAATTAATGTCAAATTTTTAATTTTACAACTCTCAAATTTTTAATTTTACAATTCATGTTATTGTGAAAGTATTAATTAATTTAAATAAAATTTAAATAAAATAAAGGTATTAGTTGATTAAGATGTCATCACATTTTCGCGACTTTTGCTGGCGCAATCCTGGAATAGTATTCTATTTAAGCCCGATGCGACGATTATCGTTCCGTATATCGATTCTCAAAACTACAGGATACTACAGAATACTATATACAAACGATGATTTCACGATTTTTCAGATGCGACACTAGCGGATCACATGAAGGTACAATTGATCGCACCGCAATACGTAAAGTTCGGCAATACAGCCACTCTGTTCTGCAACCATACCGTGTCGGACGACTTGCTGCACAAAATAGAGTTTATGAAAGGCGAAAAGAAGATATTTCAGTATGTAAAGGAAAGAAACCCGCCGTATATCGCAACGTCGCGTATTGAGGGCGCTAAAATGGAGGTGAGTGAAACGGAACGTTTGCACGGAAAAAACCAATCTTTTTCTATTTACTGTTATTTTAAACTTGTAAACTGCTTTCCTTCTTTGTAAAATATCTTTTCTTAAATTTGTAAACTTCTTGTATCTCTCACCTTTTTTATTTTGTTTCTTATTATTTGCTATTATTTTCAAGAAAAGATAAAAAATAATGTAGATTGTTTTTACACAAAGAAATTGTGTGACTGATTTTTAGATATTTATAGATAGGTTTTTAGAGTTATCGAAAGCAATAATGTAATCGATCTCATCATTGTCAATTAGCTTTAAACCTAATTAATCTGATTCTGATTCCTGACCGCTCATACCTTGGATGTTGCTACACTCGACGCACATCACTCTCTCGCTTTGAAGTCCATAATTATCTCAAAGGCATATCTTACTGTCGCGCCGTAATAGGTTCGATAACACTTCTGCGTGAACTTTGGTCAGAACATAAGCGAGATACTGATACATCGACCTTTGAATCTTAATCCATCCAGAAGTTAAATATAACCATGTCGTTTTTAAACGTGAATATTTGATCATTTCTATCTTTGTAAGAGAAGCCGAAATTGTCTCAGCAAGACAAATTGAGCACTAATTATTCGGCAATTTTACTTTTTGCTAGTGTCAACAATAGCAACATCAATAATTTCTTAATTATCGCTTTAAACAGTTCGCGCGCGTGTTCCGATCCTTACAAATATATTTTAAATCCTTTTTTAATGTGTTCACAAATTGCGACACTTAAAATCTAGTTCTAATTCGATTTAGCCACGACGTTTAAATTTAGATACATTCCATGTCGTACCACTTTACCTCATAAAAATTTTATAATTTAGAATAATTAATTTCACAAGACATAATCTCACAAATTCATCGAACTAATATTACATCTCTCTCAAACATCTTGTTTCATTAAATGTTAAGTATATTTTGTATGTGTGTGTTTATGCTACACACATAGTGCATTTTTTTAACAGTTTATTCTATATATTTCGTCGCGCGTCGGGGCACGTTCTATAAGAAAAGCCGTCCGATGTAAACAAAAATCCAAAAATAACCAGGACGCCCTCGATAACATAAGCTAGATAAAACATCCAGAAGTCCTCTCCCTCTGTCTTTCGCCAATGATTAAGCGAGCAGAGCTAACGCATTTACCTAAGGCGTAGCCTTTATGTATCGACACAAAGCAAAGCTATTTACGTACGTGTACATGCACTCTGCCACATAAATACTTCCCCACCCCCCTCCCCAGCGACGTCGAGTGGCAACGCGTGGCAGCACAATTTCCTTCGCCAATTTTTTCGATACCCGAGCGATGCTTGGAAGGAAGTGTTTAATAAAAAAAAAAAAAAAAACAAGAGAGGGAAACTAATACGCGTTACTAACCTATATGTTGAGCACATAATGTCATGAAGACGAGCGCTTGTACCTAGCGGGTATAGGATTGACGCATTAGTAATGAGGCTATTCGCAGCGAAAATAGAACATTCATTTTGCAAGCTGCTGCTTGAACGGTCAATATAAAGTCCCAAAAACGTCTTTCATACTTTTTGATTGCAATACATGCCGAGAAATTGCAACAGTACTCGGTATTTTTATCTATTTCGTCTTGGTCACACGTACAAATCGATCGAGCTGTACGATGTTCTTCATTTTTCACAAATACTCGCGTCCCTTTTGGGAGACATCACTATTCTTCCTCCTTCGTACTCTCCTTTTTCTAATTTTCCATTTCCGCAGAGATTTCAAAAAGCTGCTCACATCGTCCTATATTTAAATTATGGGAACTTTTCTGATTGCACAGTGTTGATTTCGGTTTTAAAGTTATCAGTGTTAAGAATTATATAACTTTGAATTATAGTGTCCGCGCCTCCAATTTTGATGAGCTTTAGGTACATATAATTTGCAATGTGTTTGCAAAAATATTTTTAAAAAAATAAGTCACAAACGTTAGCAAGATATTAAAGATTGATTAAAATAATGCAATAAAATAAATAAATGTAATGATTCGGTATAACATAATTTTACTAGCAATTTTACGTCAAATGTTGCACAAATATTACATGTTCATTTTAAATAAATTTTTAAACAAAAATCTATAGGTGTTTCAAATTTTGCTACTTTATTTTTTATGTGATCATTTTTATGCCATGTGTTCGTGAGTAAATTTGTTAACATCGGATGTCGGAGACTTTTAGTCAAAAATAATGGTATTTTAAACACACGTATGTTACTATCGTGGCTTATTGTCTATATTTCTTTGCGAACTGAAATAATACAATTAAATTAATTAATGAGCAAAAACTTCCAATCATCAACAATACTACGATTGCTGTATAAGTGGTAATAATGAAAAAATTGTGATTTATTTATTTAAACTACAGAATTAACTTAATTGTTATGCAATCTTTTAAACCATTTTCCTACGATTCAAATTTTCATCTTTCCGATATCTTAAAATGACGTGATTAATTATGTATCTTGCAGACAACAGTTTCAATAAACATGATTTAAATTTAATAAGACATAAAATAGAGCAAGAACTTGGACTAAATTATACAAAGTGCTCTGTTTCTATCTCCACAGTGTTTCAAAGCGTTCCTCGTATACACTCGATAATTGAAATGGCTAGATGAAAGGAATGCAAGTAACAAATCCTGACAAAACAAATTGATACAAGGATGTTTGAGCTTTTGGTCAAAGTTTACTTTGACGTGCTTAATTATGAAATTTGACATGGTCGGAAATAACATGTCTTGAAAAAAACGCTGCAATGTGTGTTTTATTCACGCTTGTGTTATATAAACATAATTCTTCCTCGCTGAATTTAAATTTAGAGAAAATAAAGGATTACGAATATGAAAGACCATGCTTGAAGAAAAAAAAACAACTTTGACATAATTTATGCATTTAGAGAATTCTCTGCCTTTACAGAATTTGTCAGATGTGTCTCTTTGACTTTAAAAGAAAGTCTTAATTAACCCATTGAGTCACGTTTCTCATGCGTTCTACTGTTTATGAGTCAAAATCATCAAATGTATGTTATGTCTCATTGTCAGATATAAGATGATGGTTATTCGATTTTTCGGATTTAAGAGCGTGCAGTGTGTAACATCTGTGATTTTATAACGCTTTCGATAATTTCTAAATCATTTTATAAAATGGATGTAAATATAATGAAAATCGAATTTGATGAAGCCTGAATATAAGTAAATAAATATAAAATAAAACAACTATAATAATACTAGTAATATACAATGTATAATGTAGTTAATTGCTTGTTGACTCGCATTGGCATTTTACTGGAAACCGTGCGAGACACGTGTTAATTTTGTGATTATTTTCAGTATAACAAAGATTTTATAATTGATTAAAATGTTTGTAAACATTTCTTAACATATTTGCCGCCAATTATATTTTTAGCTGATTTTCCGTTTACATTACTTGAATTATTTCATGCCCAAAAAGAAGAAATTTAATGAAATAATTATATGTAAAATTTTACTAGATACACATATTAGTTTGTTTACCAATACATTTTGATCGTTATACTAATATTAAACATAGCCGTACTTTTACAAATATAGGCAATATTGCGTATCATAAATATATTAATTATATTCAACAATTATACCTTGTTGACCACCGGTGACCGTCATAACAATGAATAGTTAATGCAGTGGGCTATTGAATCAACGCAAGTTGCTGCTAGTGATAACTGTATTAAAAAATACTTACAAATGTTTTACTCAATTATAACATTGGTTGTTACTGAAGACAGTCTTATAATTAACGCACGTCTTTAATTAAATGTCAACGCGATAGGTTAAAAAAATTTTAATTAAAACGTATAATTATGGCTGCATGCCAAAAAAAAAACAATGTAATAAAATATGATTATTTTTTCTTAGTATTGGAAAAATGGCACGACAATCAAACTGCACGATGTACGCTTTGAAGCTTCCGGTACTTATACTTGCGAAGTCACTATGACAACGCCCATTTATACTGCGGGCTCTGATCCCGTGCAGATGAAAGTGATAGGTGAGTGAGAGTGTTGGCAAAAATAGAAATGGATAATATTATCTGACAATTGAAATCTTGAAATTATATTAATTTAACTTAATCTTGAGATTACATTAAATACATAGGCAAATTTAAGCGCCTAAATACAAATAGTAATATCGCTTGAAATTAATTAGGCATTTGAAATAGAAAAATGCTAATGTCAAATGCTTATGTTTTTTAACTGCATTGGATATTGTCAATATACTTTTTTATAATTCCTTCTAGTTCAACAGGTTAAAAATCCCGAGATTACGTTCCAGAAGAACATGTACGTGGTTGGCGAGAGTCTGGAGGCGAATTGTACCTCCTCGGCCGCACATCCAGTTCCTTATATAACGTGGTTTATAAATGGGAAAGAGGTAAAAGACAGTTGAAATTGATGTCTTTGATTTTAACAATTAGTCCGAGAGAAACAATATTTGTTCACAATTGTGAACAATTACCGATTCCGTTACTCTGTATAAGTTTAATTTCATTGAAAGAACTCTGTAAAACTGAAAAAAAGCACTTTATAATTTACATTCTTGAACATTTTAATATATCGTTAATAGCTTTTTTCACGCAGCATATTTAAAACACGATTTCTTTCAGTTCTCTCAAGACTTGCTTGCGAGAGAACGAAGCGTTCTTATTAAATTAAGTTTCAAATATATTTAGAGAAGAATTCTCTCGTTATTTCGATCGTTAATGTTGCCAGGTGGACATTTCTTTAGTTAATCACTATCCGCATAAGCAACATAAGGACAATTTGATGTCCGCCACCGCCAGGTTGAAAGTGGAAGTTTCCGCTTTGCACGCCGGGGAAAACGGACATTTAGAGATGAGCTGTCGGGCAACGATACCAGACTTTCCCATGCAGCACGAGCAATTTGCCGATATTAGGAGTAAGACGGTGACGGGTAAGTTCTCATCATGAATAGATATTAAATTCACAGCATATTTCTCGTGCGTACGACGATGATAAATTAAATCCATCAATTTTTATCAAAATACGCAAGGACGCGCAATTTCCTCCGAGCAAACAAATAATGTTGTAAAAAAAAAACTAATCTAAAACTGCTTTGTTACAAAAGTAATATTATCTCGAATAAGGATCGATGCGCGCCTACGTCGTAATAGTGTATGTTTTTATTTAGACGCTATTTTTCTACATATATTTTTATATTTATACGCTTATACAACACTTGCATTTGCTTTCAGAACTTTTAGAACTTTTATTTTGTCTTCTGCAGTATATTAATACAAACGTGTCGACTTTTGTACGCGCAACTTGTTTCAGTGCAAATCATACCAGCGCCGGATGTGACGTCTTCCGCGGCGATTCTTGTACAAGAACTAACGCTACCTACGATACTCTGCATACTGAGCGCGATGCACGGGTTCATTCCTTAATAAAAGTCAATTGCTCTAGGATAATTCGGCTGTAACATACGTAATCGTAAGGACACTAAGACGAAAATGATGAAACGTAAGATCGAACAATCACAATGTCTTCCTTCGATATATCGAGATACACGGGGGCAGCGATTTTATTGTCTTTGCAGAAGTTTTGTAAACTCATAGACGCGGCTTCTTCGTGCGCAACTATTTTCGATTATTGCTTTTAACGAGCATCTCGCTATCTCGCGAAACATATCAATTCCTATGTGAAGTATTGTCGGAGTATTCGACAAAGTGTGTGTGTCGGAAAGCTATGTCTCTTTCTTCCGTACGCACATCCGCTTATCGCGCGCAAAAAAAAAAGTTAAATCTTGGAATCCTTGTCTGAAAATTAAAACAGAAAAGAAAAAAAAAAGAAAAAAAAACAAACTGTGTAAAAATACTTCTGCGATGTGAAATATTTTTATTTTACACCGGAAGAACTTTGAACAATGTACATATATGTGTATGTACATATATATATTGTTGAATTAGTTGAAATATCCTTTGACGGGGAGAAGAGTTTATCTTAGTTTAAGATAAGATGTGGTTTTATCGTTAAATGTATAAATTTTGATCTATATTAATGTTGTTGAAGTATTATTATCACTATTATTATCGATCACTAACTTATATTTCACTTTGAAAAACGATATAGTTTTCCGATACGCGTAATATAACATTTCATCTAGTCTCGCCTCGCCGCTGGAAAAATACAATACAATGTTTTTCAGGCTGGCGAATACGTTCCTGTTATTGTGCGCGCATTTTTATAAAAATTCGTGAGCGTAAAAGGACGCTTTTAAATCAGTCGAACTATTATTTCAATAGATTTCTCTCGTTCAGAACAATATCTCATTTTTCTCCGATATCAATTTCTCTATTTTTTTTTTTTTTTTAGTAGGCTTTCCCTTTTGGGTCAATATTTTCTTATAGCTTAATCCGCAAGGACCATGATTAAAACAAAGTCAATTTCTACATGACTTGCAGCACTCGCGATAAAAAATGACTTTTTATGTTTTACGCTCCGTTTCGCGATGTTCAATGATATCGATAAAAACAACTTTCCGACAATAATTTTTTAATTAGAGAAGCGACAACTTTCCCACGTAAAATAAGACATAGATGTTAGAGCAAATTCTCATCATCATTTTCACCATGAAATCGAAGCTCGGCGCTTCATTGGGAACATTATACACAAGAAATTTAAAGCAAGAATGGCATAAGTCACGTATGATGGCGTCTGAGGTACTTTCGCATGAGTTGATATAAAAATACCTTAGAGCTCTTTTCTACTTTAATAAATTATGATTTTTATGGATTATAATTTAACAATTACAGCCGTGAAAATACTCTCACTTAAGCTATTCTTACTTTCAATTCTCTCTTGATACACACACTTTCATATATAATGAACTGAGGAATATCAATGAAACGGAACGTACAACGCAGTGTTACAAATTTCATCGCGTATTTTACTGAGGAGGCAAACTTGAAAAACATTGCGACAGCGGCTTGGCATCTAGAGAGCTGCGAAGAACTAGAAATAATTAGAAACAAGTCAGAGTCAGAGTCTGGTCAAAGTTCCACATGAGTCACTTATTCGATAACTGATCAATTAATCAATGAAGGCAATCTTCACCGATAGTCTGTTCATGCTTTCTCTTTATTCGAAACACATAGTACAGTTATATCGTAACTTTGATAAATTGACCAAACTTTGACGCGACTATGTGTACAAGTAGCATTTACGGCCGTCGTGCTTACGGCTAACTTTTCGAAGCATTATTGGGCGCGTTACTCGTCATTACGATGCGAAACGCGCGAGGCTTGATGCGAAATCATCTCTTGTATATCACCGTATGGCTTGTCACAAACAAGTGCGCGGGATTATCCTTTGTCTGTGCTTATAGCTCGTCGCTGAAAATCTTAATCCTTTCTCCGCTGTTGTAACGAATACCAACAACTATAAACAGCGATATTAACTATAATTTAAAAATATTTTAGTGCATAATATATTTTTATGTATAGTGATATAACTGTTTAAGCTGGTGATATTTTGAAATATTAAGAGACACACACACGAAGAATTATGTCAATCAGCGTTATATTGGAGTGAACGCAAACGATGCTTTCCAAGGTTTTAGTGTACTAATTCTAATCTTGATTGTTAGGATAATTAGAAAAAAATAAATCTTTGTCTCTCTTTGTTTAGAGACTAGTCTATCTAAAAGGATCGATAACTTCGGAGATTGTTCTCGTGAACGTAAGTCTGTAGTTACATTACGTGTAGCTCGCGTGAGAGTGAATATACTTTCGGTTACGATTAATAAAAAAATTAAAACAAAAAAACAAATTGTAAGCAGATAATAAATTAACGATCATCGTAGTTAGGGAAGGAGAAATCTTAGGGAACAAGATTAACTACGTAGTGCTTTATAGACTAAAGAATATATTTACGATTAACAAATTTTTACGCATATTTCAGACTGCAACTATTTGCTAAAATCGAGATTAACTAATCCAATTGCCTGCAGATTCTTACATGCTTTTTAAACTTACAAGAAATATACTACTTTTTCATTTTTATTATATTTACAACGTAAGCAAGCATCGATCGTCTAAGCAAGGTTCAAAAGCTTAGCAACGATATTTTAATTCAGAAGTGCCTTTTTCATATATTGTCTGCGAATTAGAAAATATCTCATGCAGATTTCTCGGTCTGCCAGGCGACATTCTATACTTGGAAAGCAAAACCTCAACATTGAGAATCGATATGAAAAGAAGTCGCCTTTTTGCCGATGTCACTCACTCTAATAAAACTCTCATTCGTTTTAAATGTTTACTCTAGTGTGTCGAAGGTTATTATAATACAGATGTACTGCAAGCTTGAATTTTAACTGTAATTTCTAAAAATAAACATAAAATTGATTGGTTTAGATTTTTGATACTAGGTTTTATTATCTCATATAAAAAAAAATTATATTTTATCAATACTTTGCACGGATCAATACATAAAATTTATTTTTTTATATGTTTCTAAAAAAATTATGATTTTTCATGAAAGATATTATATAATGGAAAATTTCTAGAAATTTGCTCGCAACAATAATTGATTAATTTTTTAATAGAGTAATATAATTTATTTTTACTTGAAGCACACGGTAAACATAAAAAGTGCAGTTAGAAAAGGCGTGCTTGGTTATATGTGTACATAAATAAGAGAAAAACAAAAGTCGACGAAGCGTGGCACAGAAAATGGAGGATCTCGCTAAGCTTTTACGGCGGCTAGCACGCGAGTCACGATGTTCTTCGCGGTGATCGTCCTAATCCCGTATATCTATCCGATTTCCCTGGTGACCGGCGACGAGCCGAGTACAACATCGAGGGAATTCACGGCTGACGAGGTTGCGGTGCGCATCGTCGGCGGAGAGATCACCAGCATCAAGAATTACCCGTTCCTCGTACGCGTGCGACGCGCCCAACGCATAGCCCCTTTACCTTTAACCTTTTAAGTAATATCGGTGCCCTTCCACAATGTGCAGCCCACACCTAATGGATGTGCGTAGTATGACGTATCTGACATCAAAAACGAGGAAGTTCCATGCAGTGTATTATGCAAGTTGGAAACATTTTATGTAGATATCAACTTTAAAATTGACATAACGAAAGTTTAAGGACATTTGTATAAACGCGATGATTTAACGTTCCTTTTTTTAGTTCTCTTCTACAGAAATAATACTTTCAATCAGATTACTTCAATTTTTAATAGTGACGTATATAAAATTGTGGTAATTTTGTAACAACTAATTATGTTTTGAGTTAAAATTGATAATAAATAAGTCCAGAATTTTTATTATCATAGAATTCTATATCGTCAGACCAGATGTTGTTGTACAATTTCTGTGTTTCTAATCAGATAATGCATTGCACTGTTTATACACATTCGACAAATAGTGTACCGATGTACCTTAAATGCTCATGTTAAATAAATTGTAACTTGAATGTTCACACATAGCTTTTGAGACATTTGGAAATCTCAATTTCTACTCAACAATCAAGCATTGCCTTGGAAGATGTGACTATTGTAAAGAAGATAAAATATAAAATAAAGCACACATTTTATTCGAGTTTTTATAAAAAATTAAGTGATATGTACGAAAAACGTTTCATAAAACAATTTTTTATTCATATTGAATATAAATTTAATATTATATGACGAATATAAAAATTTAGTAAAATGATAAGATGATTAAATTACGATACGACTATTTCTTCGAATAAAGTGTCATCGAGCATTAATATTAAAATCAAGTTTAATGATAGATAAGAGATACAATAAATTCATAAATGCGTGATTATTTGTGAAATTGGGATTGAAACAGTCTCGAAAATGCCGTGTGCTGGCATTTGATCGTTCGTACAAAGGCATAAAGGTTAAAGGGGCAACCGACTCAACTCGGACTCGGCGAATCCGAATTTTTCAAAGTCAATTCTTCTTAGGTCTCGGTGCAGCGCCGATACTTTAGCCATTCGTGCGGAGGCACTTATGTCGCGCCTAGGTTCGTCTTATCGGCCGCTCATTGCATGGTCAGGTGCGTGTCACAAGACTGCATTTCGCATTTCGCGAAAGGTGGTGTAGTCTGTTTCTCTTTCTAGCCGGGGCTTTAGCACTCGCTATAAATTCGTTCACTTTACGCATCCTCTATCGCAGTCTTTAATCCTCGGATGTGTAAAATAAAATATTTAATCAAAGGTACAACGGAAGATCTCTTAAATATATCCTAGGATTGAAAGACGGCACAAAGCGAAAGTGAGGATTCCGCGTGGAAACACGTACACCGAAAAATGCTAAGAGAAAGCGTGCACGCTACTTCTTGAGCTTATTTCAGTTGATATTAACTGTGATCTTTTGAATTTAGTGCAATTAAAATGTCAATCTCAAATTCTTTTTTTATTTGCTTATAATTCATATGTGTAAAAGCGTATAATTAAGGGCTACAGAATTTATTGTAAATTTCTAAAAGCTTCCGTGGCTAATTATAATTAGAAAACACTGCCATATCGTACAGCGAATTTATCATCTTTTCGTGCTTTTCTGTGATACGGTTTACCACATAAAATTGAAGAAATTAATATATATTTACGTTATTAATTAATAATATTAATTTTAACATAATAATAGTAATATTTTTTAAAGGCCTTGTACTTGAATTTTGAGAAAAAAGATAAAGCATTTATGTCATTTAAAATTTTATATTTAAATATTTTATTAAAAATTCAAAGAAAGTTTATTTATAATTACAATTTGGAAGAAATTTTGAGCATGCAAAATATCCGTTTTTTCGAGCTGTACAAATTAATAAGTAAACTTTAAACTCCCTAAAAATATAACACAAAAAAATTTAAATTAGGAAATATAATTTTTATGGTTAATTAAGAAATGTCGAGTAACTTCGATTTCTATATAAATGTCTAATATATTAATATTTTATATTATATATTTTTATTCTTTGCATTTAATATTTAGATGTTTAAAATATTCTCACATAAAATTCTCTGGAATAGATTAACAAAAATATCTTTCGCTTTCACTTTAGATCTTCAAAAAAAAAAAACGTCTTAGTTTGTGAAAATAATAAACCTTTAAACGCGGAGCTATCTATGTGATCTAGGTCTTTTTAGACATAAAATAGGTTTTACAGTTTAAAATAAATTATAAGAAGTTTTTTGTTAGTTGAGATATAAATTACATTTTCTCGAGATATTCTCGGGAATTTAATTATATATTTGTAAAGCGAATCGAACGCCCTGGTAAGACATTCTAGGATTACACCACACGTAAGATATTAGCCATGTTTAACCTCCTTGCTACTGCAGATATATGTATAACAATCGTTCACGGGAAAGTTAGATTTGTGTTTAATATAATGACGTGTCTTGTAAGATATTATCTTGTAAGATATAATTCGCTGCCATTTGTGAAACGTCAAGCAATTCAAATTTGACTGTTTTGCAATCTACTTTGAAAGTATAACATATTTATATTTATCCCGTTCATGTATAACCCGTATACAAATGTCACATCCCACTAAATACAGTAAAGAAATGTGTCTGTATAGTAAATATGTAATGTGCAAATCTCCCAAATACATTCACGAATGGTAGCAAATTTATATCGCGTATGTGGAACGTTTAAATTTATATTTTTGCTATTAAATAAAAACCATTTTTGTCTAACTATAGTAACGGCGGGTAAATAGAATTAGAAGGAGAATCGAATAGAATAGGGTATAAGAATATCTATCCGTTGACAAGCCACCTAGCTATTATAGAATGAGTTTTGATTCATCCTTCAATCCAATTTGCTCGCCGTGAAATTATAAATACGTTATTCGTTTTCGATTGTGTGAGTAGTGATGTACTATCTAGAATGTATATTTCAACGAGTAACGAGAGGGTTAGCGGCGCTAGATCCTACCTAAGGCAATGATATCTGTCGCGGTATCTATCTGTGTATCGATTAGCTGTGTACTAACGGTGATGTACTACTTCGCGTGAACGTAGTTTCTGTTTTACGAGTCAGCTCGGCCGCCCGTGATTGTACGTAAAGAAAATTGGGGCGCAATCAAACACCCTTTCATTTATACAATAAGAAAGAAATTATATAGAACATTTTAAAAATTTTCGAAAAAATACGACAAAAATTACGACGAAACACGATGGTTAAAAGAACTGTTATTTGTTCTTTCAGATAAGAGTTAGATTTTAACAAATTTTTATATTATTTTCTATTTTCTTTGATTACTAAAAATAGGTTTATAAAAAAAGTTCAATATGTCAAATTATCCATCATTTATTTGCTACATTTTTTCTTGAAGAGATAAAAAACAAAGTTTATTCTTTATTTTGGAAGAATATTTTTTTATTACTGTAATTTTTTGATTGATCAATGCATATCTTTAAATCCCGAAAACCTTTGTCAACAATTTGTATATTTAACAAAAACAGCTGAATTGATGTAATGTTATTCAGTAAGAAAATTAGGAGTTTTATTTCATTACGTTTGATTGCGCCTCAGTTATTCTTATCGCTCTGATGTTTAGGTGAAACACAAAGGTATAAAATTAACTCGTCGTTGTTTAAAGACTGTTGCTCGACGGCACGTGGATAGCGGAAAATCCACGCCGGTTCTACGTGATTGCCGGCGCAACCTATGTGTATTTACCAAGCTGGGGTTCCATGCAAGTGGAATTGATAGACAAGACATTGCCGCACGCGGAGTTTCGGTTCTCGGACATGCAAAACGATATTGGATTGTTCAGGGTGACTATTTATGCCATGTATATAATTCTGTGTCGATAATAAAGAGAAGCAAACCTTGTAACAATCACGCGACATTCACTATCACATCCCCTGACCGCTTTTGCAGCTGAAAAGGCCACTTCAGACAGACGCGTATGTCCAGTACATCACACTGCCTTCGAGATATATTACGGACTTGTTTGAAATATGTACAAAGGATTGTATCGCAGCTGGATGGGGTCGACATATACCTGGTTCAAATGTAAGTTGCTACAAGTTCGTTTATTTTAAATAACAATGTGACGTGCTTCAGACCTTGTGTTACACAAATTAACATAATGACGAGACCTTGAAGGTCGCTGCTGAGTTTTTTTGCTATCTGATTTTTATTTGTATGTATTAATTTTATTTATTTTTTGTTTAAGTCGCGAAGGCCTCAGATAATTTTAGCTTGCACTAAAAAGATCTTGATATTTCTGCTCTTCACTTATTTTTTTTCTTATTTATTCTATAGAGTTTATTATTGTTGTGTTTAGAAAAGAAAATTTATTTTACTTAATAATTGAAAGTAATTGTTTTAATGTTTTTATTGTTAATAGAATTTTTTCTATTGTTGACTTTTACCGAAAATAAGTATTTGATATACATGAATCTATAAAAGAGTAATGTTTGATTTATTATTTTAATTTACTTGTGGTTTATTAATAGCAAGGATCCGGTACATATTTGCGACACGTTCAAATTCCATTGATCGCGCCTGATAAATGTCCTATGACGAATGTGCATCCAAAGAGCCAATTATGCGCGGGTTTACCAGAAGGCGGTCGCGATGCTTGCCAGGTTTGAATTAACTTCAATAGATTTGGAATTTTTTCCCGATGATATTTAAATACGTTTAAATCTCGTTTGTTTTTGCGTTTAAAATGTCGCGGGAGTTAATAATAAATAATATCGCTGAGTATAAATCTTATATATAAAAACGACATTAATACTAGCTTATAGTTCTATTGTTATTCTTATTTTTATTGCATTCTGATGTTATATGACGTATTTGTTTTTTTCACGAATTTGCAGGGCGACAGTGGTGGACCACTGCTGTGCAACGGAACGCAAATTGGTATTGTTTCTTGGGGCGAGTCATGCGCTCGTCCGAATTCACCGGGTGTTTATTCTCGCGTGGATTTTTATTTGCAGTGGTTAAATGAAACTATTCTACGGAATGAAGCCTCAAAATACTCGTTGCAACAGTTTGTGATAACAGTTACTTTCACACTTAATTGCTTATACTTATCAATGTAATTATCATACGTAAAATATTAATTATCATACGTTATGTCGTATACATATGTAAGGCAAATGAGCAAAGGATATATTGTGTTCTGTCTTTAATTTTAATGTAATTATTATGTTCATTGAATGTCTCATTTCGAATAAATGATTCCTTCTTTATCAAGCGCGCAGTCTAACCGTTGTATATTGTGCTTATTTTTACTTTGCAATCTTATCTGTAATAAAGATAAATCAAGATTAAATTAATGCAGAAACAAAAAAAAACTATAAACTGTTAGTTAACCTATTAGCTCTGCAAGCTAAATTAGCTCGAAGAAATCGCTCACTCTAACTATTGAAAAAAATATTTTATTTAGTAAAATAAGAAACATCTTTTCGTGCATTGTTTGTAAGATCGAAAATTGAACTCAACTTTAGTTACATTTTTATATTCCTATTTTGTTTTTCATACTTTATCGTGACATTTTTTATTTACAGTTAAAAATATTTTTTTTTAATACTTCGTCTTTCTCTTTTTTCCTCATTTTCTACTTCTTTTTTTTTAACCACTGTTTATAAGCTCATGTTTATAGTTCATAGTGCTTGCGATGCCCGATTTAGCAGACGCGTAAACACTCTTATAGTGTTCACAGTATCCTGCTTACTGGAAATGTTAACACATCCATAACACTGAAAGGGTTGAACAGAGTATAATATGCAAATATTAAATATTTATATTATATTATATTCTGATTATTTTTAAAATTCAGAAGATTCTATGGAACAAAGGAAACTTCCGGCAATATATAACAAGTTCTACGTGTATCTTGCTCGCGGTCGTGCGAGCATTCGCGAGCGTTGTCCTCCTCGTCCCTCGCTCGAATGAACAGTTAGGAGTGAAAGTAATCTGGTCTGGTAGATGTGCATGAAACCGACTCCCAACAGTCCACAGCCTACAGCCGAAGAAATCGGTACCGATATTCTATATCAGTATCAGCTACGTGTTTCAATATTTAAATTATTCGAGAACGCGACTTGTGATAACAACAGCAGATGTAAATATTCGGCGTTTTTCGACTTAAAATACATAAAGTGCGATCCCGATAACACCGTTATCGAAAGCGAAAAATTAAATTAGTCACAAGTGAAGTAAGCTGTTTAATATTCCCAATTATAACAAACATTAATACCACGTCAAATCGCAGTTGCGCAGTGAACGTTAAGAAAACCCAAGTAAAACCAAGTAATTCCGAGGTAAAAATTGGTCTGACAATTTATGGCTTTCAACGGAGTTTTAGTGTTTACTGTATTCGACGTACGGCATTGCAAATTCATTAATATGAAATATTGTTACAGTTCGCCAAACGGATATACCGTATTAGGAGTTTGTCGCATTAGAAGTTCGACGCATTAAGAGTTCGACGCATTACGATGTTTTTTACCGACGTGGCGTTTTTTACGATTTTATTTCTTGGAACTTGTAACGTTCACGGTGAGTTCGCATGCAACACATCTATCTATTTATACTTAATATTTATATATTATATAATATAAAGAAAAGGATAGAGAATACTAAATAGAATGTACATTGCGTTTGTCAGTGATATTAATTCCCGCGTTTACGTATTGACGAGCGAAAGTAAAAGCCGACATGCCGCACAATGGGGACGCGACATTTTCATAAGGTTCACGAATGTATATACACGGTGTCTCGAAATTATTTTCCAACATTCCTTTCCTTTTATGAATTCTTTCATTGATTTAAGAATCAATTTTTTTATTGAAAATATCTTTGGATATTATTTTCCACAACTTTTTGATATTATTTAACATTTATCTTAAATATTTATGTAATTAATTCGTAGATTTGCATTCTATAAGAACAAAGTATATGGTCAGATAATTAAATTTGTGGATTTTTTCAAATTAGAATAAAATTTACTATGTAATTAATTTGTTATCTCTTTTAAAGTGATTATAAATGAGATAACATTAATTTCTACATAGTAAATCTTCTTTTAAGTTAAATAAATCCATGAATTTAATTTATTAGACTATATATTTTATTCTTACAAAATGTAAATCTATGAATTTAGTTATATTAATTTATAATATTTTTGTTATAGGATTCCCGAAACCAAAACATGACAAAGTTGTCGTTTGTTACGTTGCCTCTTGGGCAGCCTATCGACCAGGAAATGGTGCATTTTTGATAGAAAATCTCCGTACGGAACACTGCACTCATTTAATTTACGCATTTGCTGGTATAAATGCATCAGATTGGACGATAAGAAGTCTCGATCCTTGGGCGGATATGGAAAAAGATGGTAATGGCAACTTTGATGTAAGATTAAGCTTACATCAAGTTGTAGCAAATTCAAATTACCATAAAAATTAATTAATTAAAGAATAATCTATGTGATAAAATTTCTACTGTGAACTCAAGTATCTTTTATTACAATAATTTTAAATTTTAAATTTTAAATTTAAATTTAAGATTATTGTAACAAAAGAAAAAAATAATATTAAATTGTTCAAAAAATTTACTAACTATTCATATTAATTTTTTGAGATTTTATTTATTTAAAAATTTAATGATTTAAGTCATATTGAATTAAAATTTTTTAAAATAATTTGAAAATAATTGAATACAGGAGTAGGCAACTACAGAAAGATGACTGCACTACATAAACAAGGCGTGAAAGTATTGCTCGGTGTTGGTGGATGGAATGAAGGAAGCGCAAATTATTCGAAAATGGCTGCATCACCGGATAGTAGAAAAGCTTTTGTCGCCAGTACCTTCAAATTTCTAAAGTATGTCTTTTATGACACTTATATCAATCAACTTTATAGATTGTACTATTATGCTATTTCTTCAAGCATATTTTTCAGTCAAGAAATTTATTATACGTGGCTATCACTTCTGGAATATGCTTTATAAAATTTAATTCTTTATGATATCTACTTAAAATATAAAAAAAAAGAATTTTACTATCACAGTAAAAAATTGTTGTTGTGTTTAAAAATTAAATTTTATTACAACAGCACATACGGATTTGACGGACTGGATCTTGATTGGGAATATCCTGGGAGTCGCGGTGGTGCTTTGTATGATAAACAGAATTTTGTTAGTCTCGTAAAGGTAGGAATGTTAAATTTTACCGTTTTTTTTTTTATACACACGTACATGTAAAGCTGAATCTGTTATTTATCGTGCGACAGGAACTGAGAGATATTTTTAAAAATCGCTTCTTACTGACGGCAGCTATAAGCGCAGCCAATCAAACTATCAATACCGCGTACGATATTCCTGAAATTTCCAAATACCTTGATCACATTCATGTGATGGCATATGATTATCACGGAGCATGGGACAAACAAGTTCTACCAAATTCACCGTTGCGGAGTACGGATGGATTAAGTGTGGTAAGAAATATAATTTTGTAATAGCTTTAAAACGAATACAAAAGACAATTTTTGTCAATAATATTTATTCAAAATTTTCATAAATTTCGATAATTGCTTGCTAAGATTTTAAAGAAATACTATTGACAAAAATTATATATTGTATTAATTTTAAAACGATCATATAGTGGCATAATTCATATAGAGATTATATTTTTAACATCTAGGAAAATACTATTACGTATTTGCTACGACAAGGAGCTCCAGCTGACAAATTAGTCTTAGGACTGGCAATGTATGGAAGAACTTTCAATCTAACAAAAATACCAGAATCGCTAAAAGTAAGTCCGATTGGTTTGCCTAGTCTGGATACTGGATTCAAAGGACCTTATACTTCTCAAGAAGGCTTTATGGGATTTAACGAGGTATGTTTTCATATATTTATATAATTTTTAGGCTAAAGCTTTTACTCATAACTTGTCTTTTTTATAGCTATTGTAATTATTTTTAAATATTTTTATCTTTTACTTGGAATTGTAATTATACTGTCAAAATATATGGTTTTCATGCGCAGTTATTATAAATAAATTGTACTTATTTTGTGCAGATTTGCGAGGCATTGGTATTTTATCCGCAAGATTGGACAACTGGATGGGATAACCACAGCAGCACAGCTTATGCGATTAAAAAGGACAATGTCGTGGTTTATGATGATCACAAAGCAATGATAGCCAAGGTATCTTTTTCTTTTTATGTATAAAACGTAGCAAATTATTAATTCAATTGTATTTTGTACTGCAATTTTTTTACACGAACTATTGAATTTTAAATACTTGAAAAAAAATGTAAATATTAATAATCTCTATTAGGTGGAGTACGTAAAAAAACAAAATCTGGCGGGTGTTATGATATGGAGCATCGATACGGACGATTTCCGAGGTAACTGTGCATCACTTCATGGTGACATGATGTTCAAGGAACGTGATTATCCTCTTATGAGAGCAATTAACGCAGCTTTGGCAAATAATACCACCGATAAGAAGAAAAATAATAATAACTCATCATCTGTAACAATGCTCTCATACATGGTATTTGTGCTATCGATCGCGATGATTTATCTTTCCTTTTAATTAAACTTATGAATCATCTACAAATGCCTATATTAATATAAATAATAATAATAATAATATTTAATAATATATGGCAATAAATCTGAGTAATATTGAGAACGTGCCAATGCTAGTGTTTAAAGATTTTTTCTCTTATCAGCGCATTTAGGTTATAAGATTATAGATTATAAGAATGTAATCTTAACATTGCTTTTTTTATGTATATATTATAAATTGAAAAAATTATGATTGTATTTTAATGCAAAACACAATATATTGAATGGAATAATTATAAAATAAAATGTTAAGAGAAGAGATACAAAACATTTATATAAGAAAAACTATTTTAATAATAAATAACTAACTGCTTTGTAACTTCCAAAAATAAAATATAATTTTTTAAATGCATAAAAACTATATTTTTAATAGTTCTACTATTATTCTGATAGTTTCCACAGATGAAAACAATTATAATGTAGTTAAAATTTTATATGTTATAATTGTGGATTTTAATAAAATTTCCTAGACAGCACAATGTCCAAAATATATCGAAAGGATATCCAGAAGACGTCCTGTCATCTTAAAAACGTCTTCTCTGGATATCCTCTGAATGTCTTTTGAATATGCTGTGCTGTCTGGGTTCATTAATCTGTAAGGCACCATTATATTGACAATAGATCCGTATTCAGATTTCGCGCTTTAACGATGTTAGGGCTCTAACCCTAAATACGGGCCGTTATGTTTATGAGCGTAGCAGTATCAAACAATGGCAATCTTCGTTTATTTACATTATCCAAATGTTGCAAAAAGTATAATTAATACAACTAATTACATACCTTGCGATGTTTGTACTATTGATGCTATTCGACGAGAAAACAGCTTGAAATCGCTTGATGAAGACAGATTTCGTCTTTTTCGAGCACGTAGAGGCGAATTGTCGAAATCACGATGTTGTTGTATAGAGGTTCCCATGAAGTTCAACACATTACCACCAATGTTCGACACTTTTAAAGAGACACTCGCAACTTTGATGCACAATGGGTGCGTTCCACTTAACGCCCGCAACAACCGCGACTACGACCGCAAAATTTCGCGTTCCATTTTAGGCACACTGAAAAAAAGGATTAGTTATAATAATCCAAACTTAAAGTAACTTAAGTATAAACAGATTATTTTTTAAATTATTATTATTATTATTATTATTATTATTATTATTATTATTATTAAATTATTATTATTTATTAATTTAAGTATAAACAGATTATTTTTTAATAATTATCGAAGTGTTTGGTAAATATTATCAAACCATGTATGATAATTATAACGAAACAATTTGTTAATATAAACGAATTGTTCAGTAATAATTATCAAATTATTTGACATTTATCATAGAATCATGTAATAACTATAACTAAATGGTTTAGTAAGTATTAACCAATTTTTTTAGTAATAGTTCAATAATAATTACCAAATTATTTAACATTTATCATAAAATCATGTAATAATAACTATAACTAAATGATTTAGTAAATATTAACCAATTTTTTAGTAATAGTTCAGTAATAATTACCAAATTATTTGACATTTATCATAAAATCATGTAATAACTATAACTAAATGATTTAGTAAGTATTAACCAAATTTTTAGTAATAGTTCAGTAATAATTATAAAATTATTTGACATTTATCATAAAATCATATGATTTCTTGAACTTTTAATTATAGTCGCAGTTATTATATTTATAACACAACTTACTATATAAAAATCACAGGTTATAGGGTATACAACCATGTATATAGTTGCATGAATGCATGTTAAAGTTATGACAACAATAATATAGTATTGAGTCAGCTATAATTCGTATTGTTAAAATAACTATAAAAATGTGGTTGTCCCTTTTACAGATTATAAATTATAGTGAAATTATGGTAATTGTAACTATTTTGTTCTTTCAGTGTATAAAACTCACATAAGTTCTTATAAAAATTTTTCTTGTAGCATTTTGTGGAACATTTTCTTATAGGATACTAAATAATTGAGTAAAATAGTTTTGAGAAAATAATGTAAATATTACTAAATTTTAATATTTTATAATTAAATAATATAGTGATATCTAATATATAATTCAATAACTATTACTAAAAAATTGGTTAATACTTACTAAATCATTTAGTTATAGTTATTACGTGATTTTATGTTAAATGTCAAATAATTTGATAATTATTACTAAACTATTACTAAAAAATTGGTTAATACTTACTAAATCATTTAGCTATAGTTATTATATGATTTTATGATAAATATTCAATAATGTCAAATAATTTAGTAATTATTACTGAACAATTCGTTTATATTTACAAATCGTTTCGTTATAATTATCACACATAGTTTGGTAATATTTACCAAACACTTAGATAATTATTAAAAAATAATCTGTTTATACTTATCAAATTCTTTGATAATATTTATCATTACTTATTAATAATCATCAAACTTTGCCAATATTAATAAAGTCGTATCAAATTTTGCTACAATTATTTGTTAACATTTATTGTTAACATTTATTGTTAACATTTATTGTTAACAATTATTTGTTAACAACAAAAAATGGTGGCGACCCATAACTCCCAACACCTCAAACTTTTTCAAAAATTTACGAATTTCGAAAAACCGCCTGGAGGGATTGAAAGATCTTTCGATACCCTGATTATGTTTGTGGTAAATTAATTTTAGTACTTTAATTCAATTACATTTCTTTTTGTCCTCATATTTTAAAATTTAAATTATTAAATTTAATTTACGTATATTTAATAAAAGAGTAATTCGAATATTGATAATAAACGCCTTCGGTACACATTTATGCAAATACTCTTTCTGTAAAATAAAATTAATAAAAACGGAAAGCCGTTCTTTTGTGAGCAATGCATCATTATTCTCTTTGATGCAAACTAGTTCTTCTATTTTTGTGGATGTTCTTAATAAAATCATGCAAATAACCAAAAAAATCCAACAAAAGTTTTATAAATTAACTATTTCTATTTTTTTTAATTTATTTAATTTTTTTATTTGTTTCTCTTTTGTTATCTTAAATATAAAATATCATCTAAGCCTTATATAAAATTTTCTGCCAAGCCATATTTATATAGATATTAAATCATCTTTGTTATTTTTTAGTAAAATAGGCCTATTGGGGAAACCACTTTTTAAAAAACGCATTTACAATAGTATCTCAGGGGTAATATGGAAAGCTCTTGATTTTTTAATAAAAAGCCATACAATTTTATTAAAAAGTTAAATTTTTAATAATTTGATTTATTTTTATTATTTTATTTTTTAAATATTATATATTATTGTTTACGTAAATTATTAAAATAAATGTATTATAATAAAGATATTTAATTATAATTAGTAAAAATAAATATTATTTTTATAACGGAGAAAATTTTATTTTCTGGAAGGTGCCCGCTCATCATCAGCCTCTTTGTTACACAGACGCTCCTGAGTCAAAGCTATTGCCCTAACTAGACCGGAGGATGATCCTACTTGTGGCTCATTCGAGTGCATAGTTTGACAGACCGACCGAATCGATTTAATTGGAATAATTATTTTGCCCAAAAAATAATTATTTGATATGGTTAATACGATTGGAAGTTAACTTTAATATAATTTTAACCTGTCAACTTATGCACTCAGATAAGCCACAAGTAGAATCATCCTCCGGTCTAGTTAGGGCATATCGGCGGCTCGGCCGCCAGCGGCCGCGCGGTGGTGGGACAGCGGGAGGCGTCGTCTCAAGAATCGAACTAAAATGTGCAACTAACGCCGAGCTCTGATATACATAGGCCGGTATTCATAGTCCGTTCTTATATTTAAAATTGTCTTAAGTATTGTCTTAAAATGCTATGAACCAATCAAAAAGCCATATTAGTATCTTAAGATGACGATGACGACGACTTAAGACGATCTTAAATATAAGAAACAACTATGAATACCGGCCATAATCATGTTTTACAAGTATGCATTACCGACACTTTGTAGATATAGCAGGTAAAATGCAGGCATGTCCACTCTCAGTTTTCTCTCTGACTCTCAGTTTTCTCTCTGATTAAAATCGAATTAAAACTCGAATCGAGTCGATATATCTATATATCGATTAACTAATCGATATCAAATTATTTAGTAAATCTTGAATGTTGGTGGCACTGCATGCATGGAGTGAAAAGTGACAAGTAAAACACAGTGAACACAGTAAGAAAAATGGCTTTTAACAATAAAGATATCGCACCTCTGTGGCATAATGGACCAACACCAGGTGCATTTTATCAGTTTCCAGGAAACCAGTATGGTACTGGAGGATTCCAAAAATCACAGTACGTTTTATTTGATTATAATGCACAATTTTTCTGTTTGTTTGCACATATTTGTCTATCATAACCTACATCTAGCGTTCACAAAATTCGCATGTCATCTTTCATATCGAGTAAATTTATGAAGTGAAACTCAAAATAATTGAAATTGCATCAAACTCAATAAATTTTTTGAATTCAAGAAAACATGATGTAGTAAGGGATAGATAAATACTTTGTTAATCTATATTCCACCTTTCACAGATCTCCTATAACGACCGGTACATCCGTCATTGGTATACAATTTAAAGACGGAGTCATTATAGCTGCTGATATCCTTGGATCTTATGGATCACTCGCTCGTTACAGAAATCTAGAACGTATCATGAAAGTTAATGATAATATTATTCTTGGTGCATCCGGAGATTATGCAGATTTTCAATGCATCAAGAGTTACGTGGAGAGAAAAATGTAAGTTTTTTTATTTAGCAAGATTTTTAGATTACTGAAGCAGATTTTTACGTTCTTAGCATTTCAAAATTAATATATTTATTATATGAGTTAATAAGAGTTTTTTTTTTTAAAGATATAAATAAAAGTTTTTTTTAATCACCAAAAGATAATAGTGTTATATATTAATATTTTTGTTTCAGTCTGGATGAACAATGCTTAGATGATGGATTTAGCTTGAAGCCGAAAGCTCTACATTGTTGGCTAACACGTGTCATGTACAACAGACGATCAAATTTTGATCCATTTTGGAATAATTTTGTAATTGCTGGTTTGGAAGATGGAAAACCGTAAATGTCATTTATTATTAGTATTTCCTTTATATAAATTTAGATAGAATGGAAGTTTATCATAAATCTTATTTTGTAGATTTTTAGGAACTGTGGACAAGCTTGGTACAGCTTACAATGATCCAGTGATTGCGACAGGATATGGTGCTTATATGGCAACACCTATATTGAGAAAAGCTTATGAAGAAAATAGCCAAATGAGCAAAGAGCAAGCCATTGAGCTTCTCTACAAAGTTATGCAAGTTCTGTTTTACAGAGATGCAAGATCTTTCCCAAAGGTAAAGTATTAAAATTTGCATGTACATAATTAACAATGTCAGTCACATTGTTAACAATCTAATCTATTTTTTAGTATCACCTCGGCATTGTCACGAAGGAAAAAGGCATTGAAATAGAAGGACCATTGAGTTTAGATAGTTATTGGGGACCTGCAGTCTTGTAAAACTAACATTCTATTTCTTTAATGTAAGTTATAATAAAAAACATGCTTGATTAAGACTCTCTTTTAATTGAATACATTTAATTGATTTTTTTTTCAATAATATAGTCATTTATTAAAAAAGATTTGATAGGAAAATTAATTAATATTAATACATTAATTAATATTTACATCTTTACTGGAAATAATATATGTATAATATATATATATATATATATAATATTAATAAGCATTACTTTTTTATACATAGTTCGATAAAATAGACTAGAGTGTTAATATTTCACATCCAGTATCTGTTATTAAAATTGTATGTTCAATTTGAGCCGTCCTAGAATTATCGACAGTACAAGCGGTCCATCCATCTTCCAGAATTTCAATCTGCGTCGTTCCTTGGCCCAAAACTGGTTCAATAGTAAATGTCATTCCTGATTTCATTTTCCCAGAATGATCATTTGCTGTAGAAGAAAAAAATAGATATATATTTTTCAATATATTTATGTTGATTTGATATATATATATGTATCATATCAACAATTCCAAATAAAAAAATTGAGTATTTAATTTCATTGCGTATTAATGTCAATAATAATAAATTGTTTCTACTATACCAAAATGTAAAATGTCTGGAGCACCATGAAAATAGGATCCAATACCATGGCCTATGAATGCCGGTATTACATTGAAATTGTGCTTCTTTGCTGTCTCTTCTATTACATTACCTGAAAAGAAATGGAAACATTTTATACAATATTGAAATAAGTACATTATAATATAATTTTAATACATTTTGAAGCAAAAATTAAATATAAATTTTATTATATATACACTTACCAATATTGCAAAAATGTTCGTTTGGCTTGCATATTTCAATAGCCGATTTTAAGCACAATTCCGTTACCGTTATCAATCGTTTGCCTTCTGGATCAACTTCGCCCACTTGAAACATGGCAGAGCAATCGCCGTGATAACCATTAAGATATACCTAAAGAATTCAATTCTTTTTATATAACTTAACTTTTTTTAATAAAGAAATGACTTCATAAGACATTTTGCATCAAAGATGATATTACTCACTGTTATATCGACATTAAGTATATCACCTTCTCGTAAAGGCCTATTGTCTGGAATACCATGGCAAGCAACATTGTTAATACTTGTACATATAGATTTGGGAAAGCCAAAATAATTGAGAGGACTGGGATAAGCTCCATTGCCTATGATCATCTCGTGTACTTGTTCATCAAGAAAATCGGTCGAAATGCCTGGCTAGTATAAATCAATTTCATCTTACACATTCAAACTTGTTACAATATACAAATATTACCGATTCGCTACATCTTTTTTCATCTACAATTTCTTTGATCAATTTGGAGTTGATAAGAGTAATATGAATCTAAACAATCCTTTTTTTACACATAAAGTAAATGATTCACCTTAATTAAGTGATCAACTTCACGTAAGATGTGACTGGCAAGTTTACAACTGTGCCTCATGCATTCTATTTGGGATGCATCCTTGATTTCAGGTGTTGTTGGTCCACTTTGATCAGGTATCGTCGAGTGACTATAAGATGGTTGAGGTATATACGCAGGTACATCAACCTTTTTAGAGACTAATCCAGGTCGCACTATGTCATATTTACCAAAAGAATTATTGTTATAAGTGTGGACAGATCTGAGCATTTTTACATCTTGAGTCTAAAACAAATATTTTCTTGCAGTTAAATAATTCTGCACTTTGTTTATGATAAAGATATTTAAATTATCCACTAATGGTGATCATCACTAATTATTCCACTAATGATGAAAATAGTCAAAATAATAAAATTATATGTAGATAAAAAAAATATACCTTTGATGCAGTTTTGAGAAAGTTAAAAAAACATTTTGTAGAAGAATGCACCGTTTGAATGATATGTCTAGTTGAACACATATTCTACGATATCTATAATCCTTGTTACAGTTATCAATTTAAATTCTTTCTTGAAACTGGTACAGTGCTAATGATTGTGTACATACAATAGACGTACAAATTCAAATTACGCATGCGTGTGTTGAAAAACTAGAGAAATCTAACCTAAATTAACTTTCAAATTAATATGATTCAAGGTATGTAAGAAAACATATTAAATTTAAAAAAAACATAATAATAAAAGGTGATTGTGTGTTTATAGAACACACAGAAGAAAAAGAAAAAAAGGAATATATAATGCAAGCGCAAGGAGCTATGGAATCTTTTCTCAATGCGTCAAAGACTGCTTTGGTAAAAAATTGCTGCATACATTTTCAGAATATTTTAATCTGTAAAAGTCTACCATTTTATCTAATTTGTCTCTTGTATTTTATTTCAGTCGCAGTTATCATCATATCAAACAATTCGTGTTGTTCTGGGAAATCAAACGTGCGATTTGGATTCTGCTGTATGCGCCCTGGTTCAAGGATTATTAGAATATGTCGACACTAAAAATCGTGGGCAGAGCAATATCGCAGTGATACCAGTCATGAATATCCCAGAGAAGGAATTTCGTATTAAAACGGAAGTAGTTTATAGCTTAAGATCTCATAACATCCCATTAAACTTAATAACATTCAGGTGAGTCCTTGAGTTCTGGAGAACAATCTGATTTTTGTGCTACTTGAGTTGATCTTCGACAGAGATCAGATCAATTTGCAAAATCTGCAGAATGATGCTTGCAAGAGGCTGGAGCTGATTTTAGTCGACCATCATACTCTTCCGAATGAAGATATCACATTGAAACTTTCAGTTATAGCGATTATCGATCATCGACCATTGGACCCAGCCTGGTCATTGTCCAATGTATCATTAAACATAGAAACCGTGGGAAGCTGCAGCACTCTTGTAGCACGCAATGTTCTACAAAAAAATCCTGACATATTGGATGCTCAACTTTCAAGTCTTTTACGAGGTATTATACGTAGTAAACTTCATTAATAATTACGAATTTATTTTAATTATGTATATTCCCCAGGTCCAATATTGGTTGACACCTACAACATGTCGAAGGAAGCTGGTCGAGCAACTGCTACTGATATTGATGTGTTAAATACTATTGAGAAACTTGGTGGACTCACATCTGATAGAACCGAGACATTTAACAAACTTGTAAAGGCAAAAACAGATATTAGCGAATTAACTCTTGAAGAACTTATGATTAAAGATCTAAAAGTAATCAATGGAATTCCTCTTGTGGGATTCTCTCTTTTAGTGGAGGTACTCTAGCATTACTGAAGATTTTATTATTTAATTAACTTGTTTAATTAATTTCAAATATATATTATGACACATTTTAGAATTTTCTTATGCGTGAGAATGCAATAAAAACAATTGAAAAGTTCGGTAATAATCGAAATTGTTCTGTCATTGTTCTCATCGGTCAGGATTTAAGCAGTGAACGCGTATCTCGAGATATTGCTGTCTTTTCAACATTATCTAATCAATTGGGAAATGATGTGAGTGTTATTTAATATAATATTGATATTTTAGTTTATCATGTATATATATCTACTTATTTTGTTTTTACTTTCAGATAATCCTAGCATTAACATCCTCCACCCAACCATACTTAAATTTAGAATTGATCAAGGAGATTCTAGATGAAAAATATAGCCTACGCTTGTATAAACAAGGAAATGTAAAGGTAACACGCAAACAGATATTACCAATTGTACAGAAAGTAGCATTAAACAGAAATGAGGAAATATGAATAAACAGCATAGAGTGAAAAGCATGTTGGAAGTACAAAAGTTGTGTCAAATATAAAAATATTTGAACACACTCAAATCCTCCACCTGCTCCTACACAATTATATTATTAAATCTCTTTTTTTAGTAATATTATATTTGATTTAAATATATTAACGCCGTTTATATTTTGTTAGAAATCGTTCATTTTGTCTCCATTTTCATGTCCAATTTGAAGCCGATTATTTATGTATATACATATGTCATTAATAATAAATTAAGGCGCATATAATATCATACACTATCAATCGAATCATTGGTGATCCTTTGGTTAAACACAGGTATATTAAATTTATTTTATTTTATTTTAGAAAAAATTGATATATTTAAAGTTTATAAACGGCCTTTTATAATTTTCGTATTGAGAAAGTATCTCGGTTATCGGAAATTTTATGATTTTGCGCAGTGAAACGCCACTGCTATCGCCATTGGCCGTCGAAACGTCACACCCCTCGGCGTTATCACACATCATCCCCATATAAGGTCCTTTCTTCCGGTGGTATTGTAGTGGCTGTAGCGAGTAATGCCGCGAATGCCGATCGCCCTTCGTTCGCGCGAATGTTGCGGAAGTGCGCGGGACGGAAATGTATTGTGAAAGTTGTAGGCGCCGATAGAAACGCGAGAATGAAAGTCGAACGGAATTATTAAAGCTCCGACCTTAATGAGCTTGTTATTAAAGCGACGCACGTGTTTCATTTAAATTATGAGACTAGCCTCCAAGCATCGGCGGTTTCTCGCGAACGGTAAGAACGTCGAATGTACAAGAGTAGAGATGTAAAAATCGGCGGCCGCGAAATTCGCAAACTTCCCGCGAAAATCGAGTGCAAGCGTGAGGAAAAAAAATTAGCGAAATACGCGGAATTTCGCCCACCCGCGAAATAACGCATATTGATCGTTCCATACTTGTTGCGCAGAGACAACAGCCGGGCCAAGCTACGCCGAGTATCAACATCCCCACCCTGTACGAGCGAAAAGCTGCATTACCCTCATGAACATTATTGTTCTGTAAATTGTATATTTTTCTTTCATTATTACGATGTGCCGCGCGGTGCTGCCGAAGGAAACGCGATGAGAAACTTCCCCGAGTATTATGACTTGTGAATGCGCTCGGATTATCGGTACGCGCTACGGTATTATAACATATCATGGAGCCAATACGTCTTTTGATAAAAGTCCTAATGCTGTTCAACTGGTACATGAAGGCATCCATCGGATATCCAAACGCTCTCGGTAAGCGTCGCTCGTTAATCTATTCTATTACTCCATTTTCAACCCTGACATATGTGACCTATTTTTTATGTATATTTGCGTAGAGCGATTTAGCAAAATCCATGTGATAGACAGGATAATTAATTCTGTCTAATAAATTTTTAGATATTTTAGGAATTAATCAAAGTTATATGATTAATCGTGTTTGCTTGTTGAAGATTACATGTAATAATATACAAATCAGACAAATAATATTCCTGAAATGTTAAATATTTGAAAATTATAAATATATTGAAAATATTTGTGAATTAAACATATTTTTGTGTTTTTGAAATAGTTAAGGTAGTAATAATTTCTGTAATAATAATAATATAAGTAATAATTTTTTAGAAAAATGCATATTTCCACTTGGCATGGAAGAAGGGAGAATCCCGGATGAAGCGATTACGGCGTCATCCAGTTACGAGATGAAATCCGTGGGTCCCCAAAATGCAAGGTATATAAGATTTACACGCTAATATGTACAACTTTAAGTACAGTCGTGATAATTTGTAAATATTCGTAGAATACGACAGGAAAAGAATGGTGGTGCTTGGTGTCCGAAAGCTCAAATTAGTAGCGCCATACGAGAATATTTGGAGATTGATTTGACGAGAGATCATCTTATTACATGGACCGAAACTCAGGGCCGATTCGGCAACGGCCAGGGTCAAGAATATGCAGAGGCATTTTTTCTGGAATACTGGCGGCACGAGAAGTGGCATCAGTACAAAGATTTGAAAGGGAACAAGGTTGACTCGACTATTCAAACTTGCTAAAAATTAATAACTTTTAATTAAATTAAAAAAATTGGTTTTCTGTAAAAAATTTAAGAACAGATTAGATTTTATTTAATTTTCAGATTTCTTCATAGAAAAAAATATTTATATAAATTCTTGAATATCTAAATAAATCGAAAAATATAAAAATATTTAAATGAATGAACTCTTTTCGAAGACTATGTTACATTATATTGATTACAGGTTTTACGAGGTAACAGCAATACATATCTAGTCGAGAGACAAAAGTTAGATTTACCGTTCGTCGCGAGTCGGGTAAGATTCGTTCCATACAGCCAGCATCCGCGCACTGTATGTATGCGCGTCGAGATTTATGGATGCACCTGGAATCGTAAGTAATTGTAAAAACGAAAGTGTAATTAAAATATATTCAAGAACACAACAGTGGGGGCGTAACAAGAGCACTCTCTTTACTGTTTATGCAGAAGACATCATTAGTTACACCGCGCCCAAAGCTGACAAAGTTTTCGGGCCGAACGGATGTAATGTCGAGGATACGTCGTATGACGGCACGGAGATAGACAATCTGATGTTGAACGGACTCGGACAATTAACCGACGGTATAGTCGGCAGCATAACGGAGATCTTCGAATCTAATAAAATAACCAACTGGGTCGGATGGCACGATCGGGATAACGTGGAATTGTTTTTTGAGTTCCAAGTTCTCCGAATATTCAAGAGATGTATGATCCATACGGCTTATTTTTCCGATCTAAATGTCAAGGTGCGCAGTTGAAATACGAAGATTCTCTTAATGTAGTGACAATCTTTTTTTAACTTTAGCAATTTTGCAGCTTTTCGAAATAATAAAATTGTGGTTTTCGTCGGACGGCAAGGAATATCATCGAATGCGAAGAAACACGCCTGAAATGTTTCAAACATTTACCGATCTTAAAGCAAATGTTATTTCTAACAGCAGCCGCGAAAAAGGTTCCAGGAATATCTTTTGGATATCTATTCCATTAGAACCAAAAGTTGGCAAGTTCGTCAAGATGGAATTGAAACCTGAAGCAAAGTGGTTGTTGTTAAGCGAGATTATATTTGACTCAGGTAATCTATTATATTTCGTTATTCGGAAACTCAAAAAACTGAGATATTATTTTGTAATTTAGTTCCAGTCGTGAAAAATAGCACTGATGGAGCGTTGGAACGACTGTCATGGACACATTCTAATACTACCGAGAACATATCTCAATTAACCAATCAGAATGACGCCGGGAAGACAAAAATCGAGGACAAGGAAAATAAGGACAAAAACGAGAACAAACGCGAACCAGAAATTCGAATTGAGAACAAAATCAAAGTCGGCGACGAGGAAAGAATTAACGTTGAGCATGGACGTACAATGACGGATAAAACGGAAGTTGATTCGAACGAGACAGCATTGGTGTTAAACGAATCGAACCTAACACCGGATGCTTTCCCCGTGAACAATTCGTCAACGTATATTGGTCTGATCAGCGCGGCGCTGACCGTAATCGTCTTTTTCTCGAGCTGCACGATCTTTCTGATGAAGCAGAGGGGTCGCAACAAAGTGGCCCTACTGCAGAAGCACACCGCACTACTGTGCGGCTCGCCAGCACCGGGTATCACGATCAATACGAAAAACATTAAATTACCCACGCCAATCGTGGTGAACAACCTGTCGCAGTCCAGGCTGTCGTTGAAAAGCAAAGCTGCCTCGAGCACCGATTACAAATTCAGCGACGCCGACGCGAGCGAACAGCATAGTGCTTACGAAAAAATTAATAACGTACCTTCGGAGCAATATGTCAAATGCGAGGCGAGATCCAATTATAAAACGGGAAATTTCGGTATGTATAGAATTGTATAATAAGGACGTTAATAATCAGTAATCAGTAGCATTAAAAATTAATAGTTTTAATACTGATCGGGCCTTCAGTTTAACACAGTAGAAAATATTATACTATATCAAAGAAAACATAATGATGTATATATAATCACAACACAGCGATTATTCTATAATTAACAGAACATAATAATTTGATTTGCGCGTCTCTTTGTCTCCACGCTTAATGATTTATATTCACTCTAATTTTCCTGCATTTTTCCTGATTAATTTTAATTCGGTTGCGGTTAATTTAATATCTCGTAATATAAACGCGTATTAATTAGCAAAATCATTTGCAATAACAAGCGTATTAATTAAATAATGAACGCGGCTCGCATTTCACCAAACGCTCGTGTACGCTCTCAGTTATATTTTATATAACATTGCCGCCGGCTTGTGTTTTAGATACTAAAAGCAACGAGAATTTCACCGATGAAACGCGAGTGGAGTGCATAATTCCGACGATGCCAAGAAAATTGAGTCACTCGCAAATGGGGAAACTCAATCAGAGAGTGTACGAAAGTTACTATGCGGCTACAGACATTTTAACGGTAAGAAAACTCGCGGCGTGCAACGATAGCTTAACCGACTTCGCGATCGTTAACGCAATACTCAATACAGCGTTTATGACATGTTCTAGATAAAAAGACGCGATCAGCATCCCGTCGTGAGTCTTTTCACACCGCTGCTCGTACGAGATTCGGTTGTGTCGTACAAACGCGGGACTTACGACGTCCCACGTATTTCTCGGCATAGATTAAGAATTCTCGATAAGCTCGGCGAGGGAAACTTTGGTTTGGTGAGTTTCGTCTGTTGTATTTTTTTAGACAATACTTATATATTTCTAAAGGTTCTTGTACAGACTTTTTCTTAATTCCCACACAGCATGTATTATCCGAGAGACGTTCGGGAAACATTCCGAAGATATTGTATCTCTCAAAGATATCGTATCTCTCAAAGATATCTTCGGGATGTCTTCTGAATACCTTTTAGATATGTGTGCTGTGTGGGTTATTTTATAGCCACACTTTAGTTTCTGTTTGAAAAACTTTTAACATAAAAAAACTTAATCCTATTTAGATTCATCTGTGCGAAGCGAAAGGCATACAAAATCCGGATCTAGGTATCCTGCAAAACCGTCAAGTAGTAATAGTTCGGTCTTTATGGCGCGGTGTTGTTGACGCGCTAAGGTAAAGTATTGAATTTTGTTGTTTAATAGGTTTCTATACTTACAAAGTTTTAATTTGCACGAAAACAAATCGATTCAGGGAGGACTTTATGAACGACATGCGCATTTTGTCTGAAATTCGCGACATCAACATTGCCAGGATAATCGCGATCGTCGAAGAAGAACCCTTTAGTGCCATTTTCGAATACGGAGAACTCGGGGATTTGTCTAGTTTCCTAAAAAATCGCGATCGAGATGTGCCGATAAGGTAAGATTATGCTTCAACTGGAGGTTTTGCCGCCATTTCTTTTCTATACAATTTTTATACGATAATGGGTTCTGCAGTTACGAGTGCTCGTTGAATGTGATCACGCAAATTGCATCGGGAATGAAGTATCTCGAGAGTTTGAACGTACCGCATTGCGATCTGGCGGCCAGGTAACAACACGTTCTTATCATGCATTTTGTAATAAAAACTCTCGTAAATATATTACACCGTGTACTAATATATGTTGCATTGCAGAAATTGTATCGTTTGTAAAGATCTACTGATTAAAGTGTCCGACCAGGCGATGTATTGCAGTAAATACGACGGCGAGTATTACGTCGACGAATGCTACGCGAAGATACCGTTGCGTTGGATGGCATGGGAAGCAGTTTTATCGGTAATTTGATTTCGTGATTAGAATCACCAGATATTGTTATTAGTTTTCAATTTTTTCTACACATATACGCTTATTTTTAATCAATGTGACAATAATGATTGTTTTGACAGCACATTAAAGAAAGACTAGAATTTTCTATCATCTATTAAATTCAAAGTTTTTCTGCACACATACAATTTTAATTAACCCAAGAGATTGTTTCGATATCATATTTGAAATTTTATTTGACATTTAAATGTTTGTGGTGACTCTATCGAAACTTTCCACATTTATCTTACGAAGGGAAAACGAAGCTGCCAATCCGACGTTTGGTCGTACGGCGTAACAGTTTGGGAAGTGTTGACGCGCTGCGAGGACATGCCGTATGCCGATCTGGTCTCGGAACAGGTGTTGGAAAACTGCGGCCTGTGGTATCACTCATTGGACACCGGCGGCAAGAAGAAGAGCCCGCGGGTTCTCAAGCAGCCGGTGTTCTGCTCGGACGATCTGTATCGGCTGATGCTGCGGTGTTGGTGCAAACGCGCGGAGGATCGGCCTAGTTTCCAGGAGATTCACTGCTACCTCAAGAAACTGACTTTGGATTAAGTGTTGCGCAAATGCGAACGCATTTCTGCGAGAGCGTATGGAAACACGCCCCAGCAGCGGCGGCGCGGACCAAATCGATTACAATCAGCTAAGAAGCATCCTGATTGCTTTCTTGATCTTGCTTTTGCATGTGACTCGAACTAATTACGATAATCGAATCAGATCGAGGAACCGTCGATGCCTAAACACACGAACGTAGGATGCTCTCTGGCCACTAAAATTACTGCTCAACTAGATTTATCTAATTTTGATTATAAATAAGGTAGGTTAAAATAACGTAAAACGATAAAATTCATTGCGGTGAATAATCGCACGTTTCTCCTTATAATACTCTACGCGTACGCCAAGG